TTTTTCAAGCTGATAAACCCCACATCTCTCTTCCATATACATGAAAAACCTCACCACTCCCATTCTTCCTCAGACATCCATCTCCTCCCCATGTTATAGAGAGAATGGTACACAGAGGGGCTCATCTTCTGGAGGAGTCCCCGTCACCAAGATTCCGCCAGCCTCCCTCTTGTTCTGGAAGTGCCATCAATCCATTGGGTTTTTTGTTCTCCTCAATGCAAAATGATAGGCCGGGTGCGGTGGCTCACGCCTGTAATCCCAGCACTTTGGGAGGCTGAGGCGGGCAGATCATGTGACATCAAGGGTTTGAGACCAGCCTGGCCAACATGGTAAAACCCTATCTCTACTAAAAATACAAAAATTCTAGCTATTTAGGAGGCTGAGGTGGGAGGATCACTTGAACCGGGAAGTAGAGGTTGCAGTCAGCCGAGATCGCACCACTGCACTCCAGCCTGGGAGACAGAGTGAGACTCCATCTCAAAAAAAAAAAAAAAAGCGAAATGATAGCACTTTTTCAGACTTCCCATGCTCCACCCAACCCTCTCCGGATTTAGTAATGTCCATCCTGAACTTAAGAATTGCTGTCCAAGAAAAAACTAGCCGGGCGAGGTGGCGGGCGCCTGTAGTCCCAGCTACTCGGGAGGCTGAGGCAGGAGAATAGCGTGAACCCGGGAGGCGGAGCTTGCAGTGAACCGAGTTCGCACGACTGCACTCCAGCCTGAGCGACAGAGCGAGACTCCGTCTCAAAAAAAAAAAAGACAGAAAAAAAAAGAATTGCTGTCCAAGCTCAGATATTGGAAGCCTAGAAACAGGACTGTGGATCCTGATCAAAGGGGGCACCTCTAGGGTATCCTCCTTCACTTCACACTGCCAACCCCACCCACCCCTTCTCGCACCAGCAGCCTGGATGGACCTTTCCGATGGGTGACTTCCAAAATCAGAGAGGAAAATGCTCCTGAATCTTTGAGGGGTTTCTTGCTAGCTTCTTCACTCTCCTGTCTCCAGACAAAAAAGGCAGCTCTGTGGACCCCAATTCCACCAGCCCACATGACCTGAGTCTGTGGAACAGCTTCCAAAGTCTTCCCAGGGAAGTAGACTCGGGCCAGCTGGAGCTGGGGAGAAATGCAGGCTTCACCCAAAATTCCTTCCCCAATGTCCTGATGGGGAACAACTTCCCTTGAACTCAGGAGGGGAGGTGAGTGTGGTGTGGGGCCGGGCACAGTGGCTCACGCCTGTAATCCCAGCACTTTGGGAGGCCAAGGCAGGAGGATCACTTGAGCCCAGGAGTTGGAAACCAGCCTGGCCAACATGGCGAAACCCCATCTCTACTAAAAACACAAAAATTAGCCAGGCATGGTGGTGCACACCTGTAATCCCAGCTACTCTGGAGGCTGAGGTACAAGAATTGCTAGAACCCAGGAGGTGGAGGTTACAGTGAGCCTAGACCACACCACTGCACTCCAGCCTGGTGATAGAACGAAATTCAGTCTCAAGAAAAAAAAAGTGCGATGTGGCGAGCCCGAGCCCAGGGCTGGGCCCCAAACTGCTGTGCTTAGTACATCAACTGAACAGCATGGGGGTTTCACAAGGGCAGCGTGCAAGTGGCTGTGGGGTTTTCCCATCCTGTTGTCACCTGTCATCACCAGGATGGGGAGCAGGTGGTGATGACCACATGGAGCAGTCACACCTGAAAGATGAAGGAAGCTGTGGCATGTATCCAGCCACCCTTCTCTCCCTTTTTTTTTTTTTTTTTTTTTTTGCAGACAGGGTCTTGCTTTGTTGCCCAGGTTGGAGTGCAGTGGCACAACTGTAGCTTACTCGGCCTCGGCCTCCAACTCCTGAGCTGAAGTGATCCTCTCCCTTCAGCCTCTCCAGTAGCTGGGACTATGCTGGCTTTTTTTTTTTTTTAATTTTTTGTAGAGACCAGGTCTTGCTATTTGTCCAGGCTGGTCTTGAACTCCTGGGCTCAAATGATCCTCCCACATTGGCCTCCCAAAGTGCTGGGATTACAGGAGTAAGCCACCATGCCTGGCCTCCCTCAGCTTTCTAAACTTCCCTCTGGATGCATTTCTTTTCCTTCTTCCCTCCTGATCACCATTTTGTCCTTGCTCTGTGGGCAGATACTCCCTGCTGCCTCCCCAGGGGCTCCTCCCCGCAACTGCCCCGCTGCCCCTGCCCCATTCTCTCCTCCCCTTCTCCTCTCCCAGGGCCAAACCCCCTGCCCCACTTGGGGAGGGGAGCTAGCCAAACAGACCTGCCTCTGCCCTCCCTGGGGATCCTGAACTGAGAGCTGGGGGGTGGCCTCAGTTTTAGGGGACCAGACAGATAAGGGCTAGCAATGAAGGAAGTACCTTCCAGGGAGAGGGGGCAGCTCTGTGCTGCCCATCCCCTCAGGGAAGAAGGAAAGAGGGTTGGAATAGAGCTCGTCAGACTGGATTTCCCACTCCAGGGCTACAGAGGAAAAATGACAACAGTAGTCAGGTGTCTCAAAGAAAAGGTTCCCTTAGGAATCTGCATGCACGTTGCATCTCTTAGTAGCAGCTAATTTTGTTGCCTGCTGACTTCATGCCAAGCACTGTGTTAAGTGTTTTATATGTGTTTACTATCCTTAGGAACTTTATGAGATGACTATAAAATCTCCATTTTACTGATGAGGATACAAAAACTTAGAGGTCAGGTTAGTAATTCAAGGTTACATAGAAATATTCAAAGTTAGCTGGGCATAGTGGCTCATGATGATTATCCCACCACTTTGGGAGGCCAAGGTAAGTGGATTGCTTGAGCCCAGGAGTTCAAGACCAGCCTGGGCTGGCAGAGACAAGAAACCTTGTCTCTACAAAAAATACACAAATTAGCCAGCACATGCCAGTAATCCCAGCTACTTGGGAGGCTGAGGTGGGAGGATAGCTTGAGCTAGGGAGGCCAAGGTTGCAGTGAGCCATGATCATACCAGCACTCCAGCCCAAATGACAGAGTGAGACCTTGTCTCAAAAAATAATAATAATACAATTTTAAAATAAACTCATAGTCACGGGTACCAGCAGTTAGGACATGGACACATTGTCTATTTTTTTAATTAAAAAAAAATATTCAAACTTAGTCCTGACCAATCCACCATGCCTCATTGCACATTTCCTATCTACACATAATGATGAGTTTTGTTTTGGCTTTTGTTTTTTGGGGATTTTTTTTTCTTTTTTTTTTTTTTTGACACAGAGTCCTGCTCTGTCGCCCAGGCTGGAGTGCAGTGGTGCGATCTCAGCTCTACAACCTCCGCCTCCCGGGTTCAAGCGATTCTCCAGCCTCAGTCTCCCAAGTAGCTGGGATTACAGGTGTGTGCCACCACGCCCAGCTAATTTTTGCATTTTTTTAGTAGAGACGAGGTTTTGCCATGTTACCCAGGCTGGTCTTGAACCCCTGACCACAGGTGATCCACCCACTCTGGCCTCCCAGAGTGCTGAGATTACAGGTGAGAGCCACCGCACCTGGTCAATGATGAGTTTTAAGAGGCCATCTGGCCGGGCATGGTGGCTCACGCCTGTAATCCCAGCACTTTGGGAGGCCAAGTCAGGCGGATCACGAGGTCAGGAGTTTGAGACCAGCCTGGCCAGTGTCTACTAAAAATTCAATTAGTCGGGCATAGTGGTGCGCGCCTGTAGTCCCAGCTACTTGGGAGGCTGAAGCAGGAGAATTGCTTGAACCCAGGAGGTAGAGGTTGCAGTGAGCTGAGATAGGCGCCACGGCACTCCAGCCTCGGCAACAGAGCGAGACTCAATCTCAAAAAAAAACAAAAAAAAAAAACAAAAAGAGGCCATCTGACCCAGGGCAGTACAGAGAAGAAGAAAGGGGAATTCTGTGGACCCCCTACATAGGAATAGTACCGCAACTCATAGGCCCTATAGAAGGGCTGGTGTCTGCAAGTTCCTCAGCTGCCAGGAATGACCTCTTTCCTCTTCCCCCATGAATGTCCCCTCCCTGAAGCACCATCTCAGCCTATAGAGAACCAAGGAGGAGAAAGGGAAGACTGGCCTCGGCCTTTAGGGCCCATCTTTTTGGGAGAACAGGTGGCCCCTTTCTGGCCTTTTTCTCCCAGGGCCTCCATTCTGGATAGTTCACAGCGGCAGCAGGTAAGAGGAGCTCACCAGCTGCTCCTCTCTCCACCCCAGGGCAGCTTGTCTCATTCTCTCCTCTACCCACCTCCTCTCCCAGAATCCAGGCCACCAGATGGCCCGAGCAGGCTGTGTTTATTTGGGGCCATGGAAACCTGCAGCTTCCTTTTCCTGTTGCCTTGGGTCAGGTGCAGAGCTGGAGCCCAGCCTCAGAGCAATGATGTCATGGAAAGGTTCTGACTTTATTACTTATAACCCTTTAGCCCCGGAACTGAGTGAATGCCTGGTTTTGCTCCCCTGAGCAGCTTATTCCAGTTGCCATGGAGATGCCTCTATTCCCTTTGAGGTCTTGGGACTAAGTCAGACAGGGCAGAGACTCCTCCCAACCTAGAGCCCGAGATATGTCAATTGTCACCCCTTCCTATCTGAGCTTATAAAGTCAGTGCTTGGTAAGTGGTTTATTCCTTCTTAAAGATTTGCTGTAGCAATGATGCTGAGATGGTAAAAGCTTGGTTTGATAACAATCTCCTGTTTAAATCAGCCAGCATCCCCGGGGGCACATTTTTCTAGAGAATTATGCTTGTTTCTAAAAATAGAACTCTACATTAAGAAACAATCGCTAGCATTACTAATAATTATGAACATTTATTTAGCCTTGTTTCCATTTACCACATTGCCTCTCAACAAAATAACTTAACTAAGGTTTAGCTGTTTTCAAACACTGCTTGCTCGACTTTGAACCTTTTTCAGAATTGGAACTTGTGTGTAGTTCAGCCCTTAACGGCGCTATCAAAGGGTTCCAGTTAGCCGGCAGTTCTCTGAATTCTCTCCCTACTTCCCCAGGGGCCCCCTCTCTCCTGGCTGGAAGAAAGCACCATCTTGCTCCATAAAGCTGAAGGGCGGGGGATGACGTTCCACGTTTTGCGAACCTTTCTTTGGTGACCTGCCTCCTCCTCCCATCTGGTATTTGTCCTGCAGAGCTGCTGGGTACAAGCCATGACACACACGTGCTCAGCGGGGAATTTGCGCATAGGCTGCCTTGTAAAAAGAGGCTGGCGTTCCTAAAACTCAGGTCTACCAGAACCCAGCTTTCAAAAATACATTCCTACAGAATTCATTTTATCAGTACTCATGAGGTGTCCACGATGTGCCATGTTCTCGGTGCTGGGGACACAGCAGTGAGCCGGTGCCCTCCTGGAGCTCACATTCCAGCTAGGAGACAGCAATTAGACAATTAGGACTGAGTGATTTTTGTAAAGGAAGAGAAAAAAGATAAATTAGAGCAGAGTAAAGGGACTGGGAAGCGCGGGGCGGGAGACGCCCCAGGCTTGCCGGGCAGGCCTCGCTGATGTTTGAATTGGGCAGGGGGCGGTCCAGGCGGAGGGCACGGACTCTGAAAGGGAGAGAAGTGGTGTTTCTCGGGCACACAAGATCGGGACACTCTTCCTGTAGTAGCTCGCTGTCTGGCCACCGTCTTCTCCCGCCAACCAGGCCTCCCGGAGGCGGCCGGCCCGGGAGCATAGCCGGAACCCCAGCTTGCCGCCTCCCCTCGGCGGGCCCTAGAAACTGCGCGGAACCAAAGCTTGAGGGCCACTGGAGTTTGCGGACCGCTGGGAGAAAGCGCCCGCCGGAAACAGTCGCAAGACCCAAGCATGGCGGCCACCGGGTGCCTGCGCTGGAGCCTGAACCGAGCCGGAGTCTGGCTGCTCCCACCGCCCACACGGTGCCCACGCCGGGCGCTGCACAAGCAGAAAGATGGCACTGAGTTCAAAAGCATCTACAGCCTGGACAAGCTCTACCCCGAATCTCAGGGCTCGGACACCGCTTGGAGGGTCCCGGTGAGCCGGGAAGGACTGGATGGAAGGGGCGTTTTGTTAGGCTGTTGGGTGGCGTTAGGAACCCCGGGCCCCATTGGCCGGATGTGGAGCTACGTCGGGGGGCTGCGTGACGGTCGCCGCGGGAGGGGGCTGGCTGTCCGCGCTAACCTGGCCGGGAGTGGGGTGCTTGTTGTAGCGCGAGATGTGCCGGAGCCGAGAAGGCCGGCTGGGTATACTTCTTTCGGGGCCGCCAGCTTTTCCACGTTCGTTTCTTTGGCCCTCAAGACCAAATTCCAGTCCCAAGGGGAAATATGGGCATTCTGGCCCCCCCCCAAGGCGGACAATAAAGGCAAGAGGCTGCCAGGTTGTTTGCTACCCTTTGGGACGTTACACTGACCATTGCCTCCAGTAACCCCAGGACACGCGAATAAAACGGCTTCTCGATCGTTCCTTCAGGAGCATTTATTTAGCGCGCTGTGTGCAGGCACTGAATCAAGCCCCGGAGCAAGAGAGATAAGACCCACCCAAACCTGTTGAGCTTCCACTTACAGGACTGGAAAAGAATATCCATTCTATTTGTTCATTAATTCACTCGCTCACTCAACAAAAGCTGTGCTAGGCTAGGGGATGGAGTAGCAAACAAAATTGAAATTCTTTTTTTTTTTTTTTTTTTTTTGAGACGGAGTCTCGCTCTGGCACCCAGGCTGGAGTGCAGTGGACGGATCTCAGCTCACTGCAAGCTCCGCCTCCCGGGTTCACGCCATTCTCCTGCCTCAGCCTCCCCAGTAGCTGGGACTACAGGCGCCCGCCACCTCGCCCGGCTAGTTTTTTGTATTTTTTTAGTAGAGATGGGGTTTCACCATGTTAGCTAGGATGGTCTTGATCTTGTGACCTCGTGATCCGCCCGTCTCGGCCTCCCAAAGTGCTGGGATTACAGGCTTGAGCCACCGCGCCCGGCCCAAAATTGAAATTCTAAAGCTTGTGGAGCTTATGTTCTGGTGGAGGGAGACAGGCAATAAGTAAATGGACTAATATGTGAGGTAGTACTTTGGAGAAAATAAAGCCAAGAAGGCAGAAGTAGTGCCAGAGGTAGGGAGTAGGATGGCAACTTTAAGTAAGATTGTCTAAGAAGGCCCTCAATGAGGTGACATTTGAATAACAACCTGGAAGAAGCCAGACAGCAAGTCATGAGAATAGGGGGGAGATGAGCATCGCAGGCAGAGGGAAGGGAAAGTGTAATAACCTGAAGGCAGTAGCAGTCCCTAGGTGTGGCTCAGCAGGCGAGTCAGGAGGAAAAGCCAAAGAGAGGGATGGCTGGGAAAAGGCCTGTTTCTAGGACTTACTGGCCTCCAGCCTTTCCTTTGAATGTAAGGCAGACCTATTGGAGAGCTTGAAGCAGGAGAATGGAATTATTTTAGTTTTACAAGGATCACTCAGAGAGCCTTATAGAGAACAGATGGAGGATGCCAAGATCAGGGAGACAAGTAAGGAGATTGCAATATAGGGCAAGAGATGATAAGCAGGGTGGAAGCAGCAGGAGTCATGAGAATTGGTCAGATTCTAGACATATTTTGGAAAGAAAGCCTGCAAGATTTGCTAACTGATTGGATATGAGAAGTGAGAATAAAAGAGGAATTGAAGTCTGGGGCCTTTTTTTTTTTTTAAGACGGAGTCTTGCTCTGTTGCCCAGGCTGGAGTACAGTGGCACCATCTCTGCTCACTGCAACCTCTGCCTCCCGGGTTCACACCATTCTCCTGCCTCAGCCTCCTGAGTAGCTGGGACTACAGGCGCCCACCACCACACCTGGCTAATTTATTTATTTATTTATTTGGTAGAGACGGGATTTCACCGTATTAGCCAGGATGGTCTCCATCTCCTGACCTCGTGATCTGCCTGCCTCAGCCTCCCAAAGTGCTAGGATTACAGGCGTGAGCCACCATGCCTGGCCCTTTTTTTTTTTTTTTTTTGAGACAGGGTCTCACTCAGTCATCCAGGCTGGAGTGCAGTGGCGTGATCTCAGCTCACTGCAACCTCTGCCTCCTGGGTTCAAGTGATTCTTGTGCCTCAGCCTCCTGAGTAGCTGGGATTACAGGCATGCACCACCATGCCCGGCTCATATTTTTGCATTTTTAGTAGAGATAGGGTTTTCACCATGTTGGCCAGGCTGGTCTCAAACTCCTGACCTCAAATGATCTGCTCGCCTCAGCCTCCCAAAGTGCTGGGATTACAGGCATGAGCCACCATGCCCAGCCAGGTCTGGGGCCTTGAGCAATGAAAGGATTGAGTTGCTATTAAGTGAGATGAGAGATGTTTATTGTATACCTACTGTGTCAGTCACTACTTCAGTCTAGCATATACAGCCATGATAAACAAAACAGACAGGATCTCTCTCCTTTGTGGAGCTTAATTCTAGTGGAAGGAGGAGGCAGTAAACAAATAGGGAAACCATTAGGTAGTGAGAGGTAGTGTGATGAATAGACCAGGGTGCTGCAACAGAGTGCTGAGGCTACCTCAGCTTGTTAGTAAGGTAAGTCCTCTGAGGAGACTTAAGGTTTGAGTCCATTAGACATCTGAGAAGAGATGCTGAGTAGTCGTTGGGTATATGGGTATGGAGTTGAGGAGAAAGGTTTGAGTTTGAGCCAGAAAGTTGGGTGTCAAAAACAGGCTATTTTCTGGCCAGGCACAGTGGCTCATGCCTGTAATCCCAGCACTTTGAGAGGCCAAGGTGGGTAGATCACTTGAGGTCAGGAGTTCGAGACCAGCCTGGACAACATGGTGAAACCCCGTCTCTACTAAAAATACAAAAATTAGTCAGGCGTGGTGCACACACCTATAGTTCCAGCTACTCAGGAGGCTGAGGCAGGACAAGTCACTTGAACCCAGGAGGCAGAGGTTGCAGTGAGCCGAGATTGCACCACTGCACTCCAACCTGGGCGACAGAGTGAGACTCCGTCTCAAAACAAAAACAAAAAACAGGCTATTCTCATCAGCATAGATGAAGTATTCTAGGGAAAGAAAGAGAGAGAGAAGTATTTCAAGGGCATGGCAGTGTTTAAAAGTTGCAAAGAGCTATCTGAGTGAGAAAGAGTCCTAGGAAGGTAAAAGGAAAATCTCAGAAGGAACAGATAGAACATGCTTCAGGAAGGAGGGTGTGGCCCATGATCTTCAGTGCTGCAGACAGGTGGAGTAGGATGAGGGTTTCACCCCAAATAATTCTTTTTCTTTTTTTTTTCGAGATGGAGTCTCGCTCTGTCACCCAAGCTGGAGTGCAGTGTCCCAGGCAAGAGTGCAGTGTCATGATCTCAGCTTACTGCAACCTCCATCTCCTGGATTCAAGCAACCCTCCCGCCTCAGCCTCCCCGAGTAGCTAGGATTACAGGTGTGTGCCACCATGCCTAGCTGATTTTTTTGTATTTTTAGTAGAGGGGAGGTTTCACCATGTTGGCCAGGCTGGTCTCCAACTCCTGATCTCAAGCGATCCACCCGTCTCGGCCTCCCAAAGTGCTGGGATTATAGACGTGAGCCACCGCACCAGGCCAACTCCCAAATAATTCTAAGATAAAAGAAATGAAGGCAGGCTGGGCATGGTGGCTCACACCTATAATCCTACCACTTTGGGGGACAGATCACGCCTGTAATCCTAGCCAAGGCGGGCATATCACTTGAGGTCAGGAGCTCGAAACCAGCCTGACTAACATGGTAAAACCCTATCTCTACTAAAAATACAAAAAAAAAATAAGTAAATAACTGGGCATGGTGGCATGTGCCTGTAATCTCAGCTACTCAGGAGGCTGAGGCAGGAGAATCACTTGAATCCAAGAGGCAGAGGTTGCAGTGAGCTGAGATCACACCATTGCACTCCAGCCTGGACTACAGAGCGAGACTCCGTCTCAAAAAAAAAGAAATGAAGGCAGTTAGGGAGAGTGCACCTGAGGATACTGATGCTTTGAGCCTGGAGGGCCAGAAAAGCCTTGGAGTGGGTGGCGTTTGCACTGGGCCTTGTGGATACAAAGATTTAAGGCTGAAGGGCATTGCTGCTTGAGGAATGGTAAGGGAGAGAGAGACATGGAGGTGAGAAGTCCTAGAGTGAGTAGTTAGTTTGACAGAAGCCCTCAGGGTGCATTTACAGTCACTGTCCAAGATGGACTGCGTCGTGTGGGAGTCTCCTGTGGCCCGGAAAGAACAGGGTGGCCTGCCAGGGTGTTTGTTTTTTTTTTTTTTTTTTTTTTTTTTTGAGACGGAGTCTCGCTTTGTCACCCAGGCTGGAGTGCAGTGGCCGGATCTCAGCTCACTGCAAGCTCCGCCTCCCAGGTTTATGCCATTCTCCTGCCTCAGCCTCCCGAGTAGCTGGGACCACAGGCGCCCGCCACCTCGCCCGGCTAGTTTTTTTGTATTTTTTAGTAGAGATGGGGTTTCACTGTGTTAGCCAGGATGGTCTCGATCTCCTGACCTCGTGATCTGCCCGTCTCAGCCTCCCAAAGTGCTGGGATTACAGGCTTGAGCCACCGCGCCCGGCCGGCCTGCCAGGCTTGTTGCTCCAGGTTGACAGAGGGTGTTGCTTTTGGAGGCTCCCTGATGCATGTGCCCTGTGGTTCCTCCTCCTGCTGGAGCCAGGCCTCTGATGGTGCCTGACACTAGCTAAGGCTAGGGCAGGGAAGGCTGGAGACATCAGATCCATTCTCCTAGAGGAGTGTTTCTGAGGTGGTACCTCTGGAGTCTAAGGATGCTTTTTCTGTCATTGTGATATGATTTTGCAGAGGACCCAAAAATACTAATGTATAATGTTTGTGTTGTGACTTTACATCATTTCTTTGTTGCCTTGAACCAGTTAGGAGTTACCCAGCAGGTAATACTTATTTGACAGTGTGTATGTTACATTACAGGATGGTGCAAAGCAAGCCGACAGTGACATCCCTCTAAGTAAGTAATTTTGTTTTCTTAAAAATCAGTTGGCTATATGGTGGCATGTGCCTATAATCCCAGTTACTCGGGAGACTGAGGCAGGAGAATCGCTTGAACCCAGGAGGTGGAGGTTGCAGTGAGCCAAGATTGTGCCATCGCATTCCAGCCTGGGCAATGAGAGCAAAACTCTGTCTGGAAAAAATAAAAAATTTTTAAAAAATCAGTTGGCCAGGCATGGTGGCTCATGCGTGTAATCGCAACAATTTGGGAGGCCAAGGTGGGTAGATCACTTGAGGCCAGGAATTTGAGACCAGCATGGCCAACATGGTGAAACCCCATCTCTACTAAAAATATAAAAATTTGGCCAGGCACAGTGGCTCACGCCTGTAATTCCAACACTTTGGGAGGCCAAGGCCGGTGGATCATCTGAGGTCAGGAGTTCAAGACCAGCCTGGCCAACATGGCGAAGCCCCATCTCTACTAAAAATACAAAATTAGCCGGGTGTGGTGGCGCATGCCTGTAATCCCAGCTACTTGGGAGGCTGAGGCAGGAGAATTGCTTGAACCCAGGAGGCAGAGGTTGCAGTGAGCCAAGATCCTGCCATTGCCTGGGCAACAGAGCGGGACCCAGTCTCAAATAAAATAAAAATACAAAAATTAGCTGAGTGTGCCTGTGATCCCAGCTACTCGGGAGGCTGAGGCACGAGAATCACTTGAGCCTGGGAGGCAGAGGTTTCAGTGAGCTGAGATTGCACGACTGCACTCCAGCCTGGGTGACACAGCGAGACTCTGTCTCAGAGGAAAACAAGAAAAGAAAAAATCAGTCATTTCTCTCATCCCTCACACATTCCTTCCAGATCTCTCCAGCCCAATTGAAGAGACCGTCTCTGGGTGTGCAGAAGTAGAATCTTTTTTTTTTTTTTTTTTTGAGATGGAGTCTCGCTCTGTCACCCAGGCTGGAGTGCAGTGGTGCGATCTCAGCTCACTGCAAGCTCCGCCTCCCGGGTTCACGCCATTCTCCTGCCTCAGCCTCCCTAGTAGCTGGGACTACAGGCGCCGCCACCTCGCCCGGCTAGTTTTTTGTATTTTTAAAGTAGAGACGGGGTTTCACCATGTTAGCCAGGCTGGTCTCGATCTCCTGACCTCATGATCCGCCCGCCTCAGCCTCCCAAAGTGCTGGGATTACAGGCGTGAGCCACCGCGCCCGGCCAGAAGTAGAATCTTTGTAGCATTATTTAGAATAGCAAATAAATGATGGCGTGGCCACTCATATCATACTGTGCCGTGTGCCACCTGAGTGGAGAGCTCTTGACATTCTCATGACGTGGAGCACTCTTTACAATAGATGAATCGAAAGAGGAAGACACAGGAGAGTTTATAAGCTACCATTTGTGTTTTACGTATCTATATCTCTGAAATATCTTTTTTTCGGAGTCTCACTCTGTCGCCCAGGTTAGAGTGCAGTGGCACAATCTCTGCTCACTGCAAGCTCCGCCTCCCAGGTTCACACCATTCTCTTGCCTCAGCTTCCTGAGTAGCTGGGACTACAGGTGCCCGCCACCATGCCCGGCTAATTTTTTGTATTTTTTAGTAGAGACGGGGTTTCACTGTGTTAGCCAGGATGGTCTCGATCTCCTGACCTCGTGATCTGCCCGCCTCAGCCTCCCAAAGTGCTGGGATTACAGGCATGAGCCACTGCACCCGGCCTGAAATATCTATTTCTGAATATCTGTATCAATATATCTGTGTCTATTTTTATATCCATATCTGTGTAGAAAGATATCTAGATCTGAAAGGAATGCAGTGGCTGCCTGGAGGAATAGAGAGATAAGACAAACTTGGTGGCTAGGAGACAAGAGTGAGAGACATTTTCATGTAAATAAACCATTTGCATAACTGTAAAATTTTGTACCTGTCAAGCATAAGCAAGGCCTAACAGTTACAGCCTGTAAAGAAACAATGAGCCTTTTTGAGATTCAGACAGTGTATGACTTCCATAGACAGTGCAAGGAAGAGCAACCAAAGGTACTGGTTTCCTGTGGCCCTTGCTCAAGATGACTCTGAAACAAAGGCCAGATGACCACAACCCAAGGGACAGGATACCCTGTGGCTGAGGAGCCACATGCTGCAGCAAAGCAGTTTTATAGCTTGAAGCTGTGCCTGCCTGTAGTCTCAGCTCCTTGGGAGGCTGAGGCCGAAGGATCCCTTGAGCCCGGGATGTTCGCTTGAGCCTGGGATGTTAAGGCTGCTGTGCCGCTGGACTCCAGCCTGGGTGCCAGAGTGAGACCCTGTCTCAAAAAATAAAAACGAGGCTGTGCCGTAAGGGCAGCATGTGTGTAGGGGAGGAGGCAGAAAGCCTCCCATCTCATCAGAACTGGAGGTGAAGAGAAGTGTCTCGTGACAGCCTCCTAGGGGGAGACAGGCAGGCAAGTGGGCAGTGGCCTGGTAGTAGCTCCTCACCAGCCTCCCACACTCATGAATCCCGAAGCATTCCATTCCTATAAAGACTTCAGTCAGCTGCAGCTCAAGCTTTGCCCATGTGCAAGGTTGCCAGCGATCACCATGGCAGAACTGTTCCCCTGCAGTGGCACGTGCACTTGTTACCTAGTCAGAAAGTGGATTTAATTTGATTTTTCCAAAGGAGGAAATCCTCTTAAAAGCAGTCCCAAGATGAGTCACTACTGCTCACTGAGGCCAGCTCTCTGCCACCATGGTGCCACAGTTCCTTGCCACCCAAACTTCTTGCAGTTACTCAGATTTTCCCAATATAATGCCTTCCCTCCATTCCTCAGATATGACAAGACTGCTTCTCATTAATTATAAAAAGGGAAGGATGAAACCTAATTTTACAGATTAAAAACAAACAAAAATTAGACCAAGAAAAACAATGAGACTTTGCCAAGATCATGGTCACTTCGTGATGGAGCCAGTGTTTGAAGCTAGAGCTCCCAGCTCCTCATACATCCAACAGATGTTTTAACACTAACCGTGAGCTAGGCCCAGGGAACAGCCATGAACACACCATGAATAAGACACAGTCCTGCCCTCTTGGAGCTTATATAGTCTGTTGAGATTCCACATCCACCACATCTTGGATGAAACTAACTCCGTCCCTTAGTTTGAACTTTTGAAATAATCCTTGCTTTAAAACAAACAGAAAACAAGCAGCAAAAAGTGAGGGCAGCAGATCAGGTGGAATGTACGGGGCTAGAAGCAGCCAGCCAAGTCCTGATTTTACTTTTGCTATCTGTGTGACTTTGAGAAAATTACTTACTCTAATTTCAGTTTTGACATCTGAATAATCTCCAGCTTCACTGACCCAGATGTTACATTTATATATATAGTTGGCCCTCTGTATCTGTGAGTTCCACATTCACGGAGTCAACCAACTGTGGATCAAAAATCTTTGAAAAAGAGGCTGGGCACGGTGGCTCACACCTGTAACCCCAACACTTTGGGAGGATCACTTTAGCCCAGAAGTTTGAGACCAGCCAGGGCAACATAACAAGACCGCATAACTACAAAAAATTAAAAAAAAAAAAAATCAGCAGGGTATGGTGGTACATGCCTGTAGTCCTAGCTACTTGGGAGGCTGACTCAGGAGGATCACTTGAGCTCAGGAGTTTGAGGCTGCAGTGAGCTATGGTCGCTGCAGTGAGCTTTGATTGCGTCACTGCACTGTATCCTGGGTGACAGAGTGAGACTGTTAAAAAAAAAAAAAAATTGAAAAAGAACAAAAAGGATGGTTGCAGCTTGTGCAGAATTTTTTTCTTCTTATGATTCCCTAAACAATACAGTATAGGCCGGGCGCAGTGGCTCAACGCCTGTAATCCCAGCACTTTGGGAGGCTGAGGCCTGATCACGAGGTCAGGAGATCAAGACCATCCTGGCTAACATGGTGAAACCCCACCTCTACTAAAAATACAAAAAATTAGCTGGGTGTGGTGGCGGGCACCCGTAGTCTCAGCTACTTGGGAGGCTGAGGCAGGAGAATGGCGTGAACCTGGGAGGCGGAGCTTGCAGTGAGCAGAGACCGTGCATCACTGCACTCCAGCCTGGGTGACAGAGTGAGACTCTGTCTCAAAAAAAAAAAAAAAAAAAAAAACCACACAAAAAAAATACAGTAGAACAAGTATTTACATAGTGTTTATAGCATTTATATTGTATTAGGTGTTATAAGCGATCTAGAGATGGTTGTAAGTATGCAGGAGGATATGTGCAGCTTATTTGCAAATATACCATTTTATATCAGGGACTGTGCATTCACAGATTTTGGTATCCACAAGAGTCATAGAGCCAATCCCTGATAGCTACTGAGGGATGACTGTATATAAAAGTCATTGATTGGGAGGCCGAGGCGGGTGGATCATGAGGTCAAGAGTTTGAGACCAGCCTGATCAATATGGTGAAACCCCGTCTCTACTAAAAATATAAAAATTATCCGGGCGTGGTGGCGCGCGCCTGTAATCCCAGCTACTCAAGAGGCTAAGACGGGAGAATTGCTTGAATCCGGGAGGTGGAGGTTGCAGTGAGCCGAGATTACGCCACAGCCCTCCAGCCTGGGCAACAGAGTGGGACTCTGTCTCAAACAAACAAACAAAAAAAAGTCATTGAAAGAGAAAGATATATAATAGGGATAGCTGTGTTGATAGTTAATTAGCAGTTTGCACATTTGCCATGAGGTAATCAGTTTTGTGTGTGTACTTTCTTCTGTTTTACAGATCGCTTGACAATATCTTATTGTCGGAGTAGTGGTCCTGGGGGGCAGAATGTGAACAAAGGTACGGGGTGCCTTGTTGCTTTCTTTTGCTTTAAAATGTAGCTGGGAGGTGGGCTTGAGGAACTCTGTGTTTATGTTCATATGGAATAAAGGGATTTTTCAGCAGAAGCTTTAATACTGCCGGCTTATAATAATCCTCTCTATTCTTTTGAATGTGGTCTGATTCTCAGACATTCAGCTGTGGGTTGCTAGGACTAGGATCGGCTTGTGAGTCTAAACAAAGAGAAATCGCAGTGTGAGGTGGCAGCCAGCTCCAAGAACAGGTTTCCTTCATTCTGGTGCAACCCGTTCCCTCCATTTTTTTTTCAACCCAGTAAAACTGTAAGAGAAGCACTGGGTGCTTAGTTACCGGAAGTCTATTTTTGCCCAAGAGTGCCTCACTGTCTTTGCAGACTTGTTCATAGCCAACTTGGACATAGGCTAGAATGTACATGGTTAGGTCTCTGGCCTCCCTTTGTTTCAGGATGGTCACTGGTCACCCGGGGGTTGATCCTTCCTGGAAGTCTCAGGCACCCATGCTCCCTTCTTCCTTTCATCCACAGTGAATTCCAAGGCGGAAGTCAGGTTCCATTTGGCAACTGCCGACTGGATCGCAGAGCCTGTGCGGCAGAAGATAGCCATCATGGTAACCACCATTCCTTTCTTTCCCTAGAAATCCCTCAGTGGCTTTTAAACCTTTACTCTGTAGGACTCCAGTTTTTCCTTTGTCTTCTGCAGCATAAAAACAAGATCAACAGGTTAGGAGAGTTGATCCTCACCTCTGAGAGCAGCCGCTATCAGTTCCGGAATCTGGCAGACTGCCTGCAGAAAATTCGAGACATGATCGCTGAGGCCAGCGAGACACCCAAGGAGCCAACAAAAGAAGATGTTAAACTTCAGAGAATCAGGTACCAGGAAATGCCCTAAGTTGCTATAAACTGATTTGTGTGGACAAGAGTCTACACAGGTAAGGAAGGGGCAGGGGAGAGTCCAAGGCCGGCCATGGGAGAAGCTCTAGGAAGAGGAGGATGCTGACCTGGGACGGAGGCCTGCGGGCTAGTGCCTGCTGGTATAACTGCTCGGCTTCCCAGCTTCCCGGCTTCCCGTTGAGCTTCCAACTCCTCTTGCCACTTTGAAAAGCACTGATTGAGCATCTGGGCCTAATTGCAGTCTTTTTGTTTTCAGGATAGAAAACATGAATCGGGAAAGGCTGAGACAAAAGAGAATTCATTCTGCTGTAAAGACAAGCAGGAGAGTTGACATGGACTGAAATCACCCTCTGCAGCTGGGAGGGCTCGTCTGGGTGTCAGGGCAGCTGCAGCTGAGAGGCCTTTCACACCATAAGGAGATTTCCTTTTTTCTTTTTGGCTGTTAATGCTTGTCTATAACATTGGAGCCATCACAAGAACGTTCATTTGGAATGAAGGTTACAGGCACTGGTTGCAAAAGTCTTTATAGGCAGTCACCATATTGTCAAACCTTAATAATGCATCTAATGTGTTAGCCACAATAAAATTCAAAACTCATTAGGTTTCCCTTCTCATTCAGAATGCTTCAGAAAACAATTCCTACCTTTTCTCTCAGTTAAATCAGCTGCACAGTTATTGACACAGCACTGGGGAACAGGAAAGGGTTGTGGTGTCTGCTGTGAAAGAACACACAGGCCAGGCATGGTGGCTCATGCCTGTAATCTAAACACTTTGGAAGCCAAGGCAGGAGGATCACACGAGGTCAGGAGTTCAAAACCAGCCCGAGCAACATAGGGAGATCTAATCTCTCTACAAGAACTACAAAAATTAGCCAGGCGTGGTGACATATGTCCATAGTCCCAGCTACTCAGGAGGCCGAGGCAAGAGGATCACTTTGAGCCCCCAGGAGTTCAAGGTTGCAGTGAACCGTAATTGAACCACTGCACTTAAGCCTGAGCGACAGAGCAAGACTGTGTCTCACCAAAAAAAAAAAAAAAAAAAAAGAAACTGCCTTGGTGGCTCACACCTGTAATCCCAGCACTTTGAGAGGCTGAGGTCGGTGGATCGCCTGAGGTCAGGAGTTCAAGACCTGCCTGGCCAACATGGTGAAACCCTGTCTCTACTAAAATAGGTGCTGGGTACCTGTAATCCCAGCTACTCAGGGGTCGAGGCAGAATTGCTTGAACCCAGGAGGCAGAGGTTGCAGTGAGCCAAGATCACGCCACTGCACTCCAGCCTGGCGACAGAACCAGACTCCGTGTCAAAAACAAAACAAACCACCACACACACAACCAGGTAGGAGGGCTGAGACAGGTAAGTGGGCATTTGAGCTGGGCTATGGAAAAGGCATAGGACTTTCACCAGTAGAGGGGAGGAGGACATGCCATTTGAAGGGAATAGTTTGAACACAGGAGACTGAAGAGGCTGAGGTGGAGGGGGTGACAAAGAAGGCAGAAGCACTGAATGGTGGATTCATGCAGGGCGATCCACCATTGCAGTGGGAGGTGAGCCTGGAGAGAGACCAGCTTGATGTGGAGAGCCTTGAATTCAAGTTAAGGAGTTTAGGTTTTTTTATTTTGAGATGGAGTCTTGCTCTGTTACCCAGGCTGGAGTGCAATAGCGTGATCTTGGCTCACTGCAACCTCCTTCGCCCAGGTTAAAGTGATTCTCCTGCCTCAGCCTCCCCAGTAGCTGGGGTTACAGGTGCATACCACCATGCACAGTTAATTTTTGTATTTTTGTAGAGATGGGGTTTCACCATGTTGGCCAGGCTGGTCTTGAACTCGACCTCAGGTGATCCACCCACTTCGGCCTCCCAAAGTGCTGGGATCACAGGCATGAGCCACTGCGCCCAGCCAAGGGGTTTAGGTTTTAAGAGTCGTGGGTAACAGAAAGCAGTTGAGAGAAAAGCTGTGTTGGAAGAGAAGCTGAGGCAGCGCTTGCTTGTCAGCTAGACTTGCTGGCTCCTTGCTTCTAGCACTCCCATTATCTCAAGTAGTCATATGTTACATGTTTCTCAATCACTTGATACGCTGTTTCCTTTCAACCCCCACATCCTCACCACCTGTTTCTTTGAGCACCAATAAATACTGTGGGCTCCCAGAGATCAGGGCCTTCACAGCCTCCACACGATGGCCCCCTGGTCCCACTTTCTCAAACTTGTCTTTTTCTAATTCCTTTGACTCTGCCAGACTTTGTTGCACCCGTGACCTGGCGTTGGGTCTGATCACCCCAACATTCCCAACGTGAGGTGACAAAGACCCTGGTGAAGGAACGCTCGAGCGTGTGAAAGCGGGGGACGCATGGTCAAAGGACACCCGAGGGCGTCTAAACAAAGCTCGACAGGAAAGCTGAGTGCTCAGAAGAACTAGGGTAACAATGGGATAAAGTGAAAGCAGATATTCTGCTTATTTAAATTTCTTAAGGCGTTTATTACGAAGAGGGGGAGTGAAAGTTAGTACTCAGAATTTGTTAATCACTCTTTAGTACAGTAAAGCAGTTTTGCCCACGGTTTCCGAAACAAGGGACTATAGAGTTAGATGAATGGCAGAGAATTGGCAGAGATTTTTAAAAGGCGTATAAAGAAGGAGCAGAAATTGGAGTTTGTTTGGTCAGTGTGGGCGCTAATAAAGGCAGCTCTTCAGCCATTTCAAAGAGATGATGAGGCAGATTCAGAGGAGGACGAGTGTAAAAAACTAACTTCAGATTCTGAGTGTGAGGAACAGCTACCGGAGGAGACTAAAGAAAAGAAAGGAAAACTAAAAAAAGTATGTTCTATTAGCCTGTCAGCTCCACCTGCTGAATTAATTGAATGGCCACCTCCTCTCTCTCCAAATGGGTGAGAAGATGAATTAGCTGAAAAACTTACTGCTTCTGAAGTTGCAACATTAAAACCTGGAGCAACTGGTGGTGCTATACAAAGTTATATTCAAAAAGCTAGAGCCGAGGGAGACTTGAAGCATGGCAATTTCCTGTTACTATCATCCAGCATAGAGGACAGAATACAGCTAATTGGCCACTTTTCCTTTTAAGTTACTAACCGAATTTAAGCAAGCCGTTAGTCAATACGGACCGAATTCTCCTTTTGTGCAAACTCTATTAAAAAATATGGCTCTTGGCTGGGCGCCGTGGCTCAAGCCTGTAATCCCAGCACTTTGGGAGGCCGAGACGGGCGGATCACGAGGTCAGGAGATCGAGACCATCCTGGCTGACACGGTGAAACCCCGTCTCTACTTTAAAAAATACAAAAAACTAGCCGGGCGAGGTGGCGGCGCCTGTAGTCCCAGCTACTCGGGAGGCTGAGGCAGGAGAATGGCGTGAACCCGGGAGGCGGAGCTTGCAGTGAGCTGAGATCCAGCCACTGCACTCCAGCCTGGGCGGCAGAGCGAGACTCCGTCTCAAAAAAAAAAAAAAAAATATATATATATATGGCTCTTGATAGTAGATTAATACCATGTGGCTGGGATACTTTGACAAAATCTGTTCTCACTCCATCTCGGTATTTGCAGTTTAAAACCTGGTAGGCTGATGAAGCTCAAACTCAGGTAAGGGAAAACATACAAGCACGGCCACCTGTGCCTGCTTCCTTTGAACAGTTAATGGGACTTGGCCCTAATTGGGGTCGATTAGAGAATCAAGCAGTAATGGAGGATGTTGCCATTGTTCAGCTGTGCTTTGTGTGCTTACCAGCATGAGAAAGGATAAATGTTACAGGGGAAAAATATCCTTATGTCAGTTCTGTCTGACAAGGACCCAAAGAACTGTATATTGATTTTATTGCTCCACTCCAAGAGGCTGTGTATAAAGCCATAACTGATAAAACGGCTCAGGATGTAATACAGCTTCTTGCATATGATAATACTGATGCAGAGTGTCAAACTGCTATTAGACCCCAGAGAGGGAAGCCTTATTTAGCTAAATATATTAAGGCTTGCATTGGCATTGGAGGTAACTTACATAAGGCTACTCTTTTAGCTCAGGCTGTGGCTGGATTAAGAGTAGGAAAGAATATGCCCCATTTCTCAGGCTCTTGCTTTAATTGTGGGCAATTTGGACACACAAGAAAGGAATGCAGAAAAGGAAATCAAAAGCAAACATTTCTACCATCAGTCAACAGAAAAGTCCCGGCATATGTCCCTGGTGTAAGAAAGGCAAAAACTGGGCAAGACAATGTCATTCTAAATTTAGCAATGATGGACAACCTCTTTCGGGAAACGGGAATAGGGGCCTGCCTTGAGCCCCTCAACAAACTGAGGCATACCCCGGCACAGCCAGTGCCCTGTGCAACAACTGTCCCCTGCCTCAGCAGGCAGTGTGGCCATAGACCTCTACAGCACAATTCCTGTCTCCTTATGAGAGGTGAAGCCGGCTGGGCTTCTGAATCAGGTGGCGACTTGGGGAACTTTTCTGTCTAGCTAAAGGATTGTAAACACACCAATCAGCACTCTGTGTCTAGCTAAAGGTTTGTAAACGCACCAATGAGCACTTTGTAAAGTGGACCAATCAGCAAGATGTGAGTGGGGCCAAATAAGGGAATAAAAGCTGGCCACCTGAGCCAGCAGCAGCAACCCGCTTGGGTCCCCTTTCATGCTGCGGAAGGTCTATTCTTTCGCTCTTCACAATAAATGCTGCTGCTCACTCTTTGGGTCCGCACTACTCTTATGAGCTGTAACACTCACTGCGAGGGTCTGTGGCTTCATTCCTGAAGTCAGCGAGACCACGAACCCACCAGGAGGAACAAACAACTCTGGACACGCCACCTTTAAGAGCTGTAACACTCACTGCGAAGGTCTGTGTCTTCACTCCTGAAGTCAGCGAGACCACAAACCCACTGGAAGGAAGAAACTCCGGACACATCTGAACATCTGAAGAAACAAACTCCAGACACACCATCTTTAAGAACTGTAACACCACGAGGGTCCGTGGCTTCATTCTTGAAGTCAGCAAGATCAAGAACCCACCAGAAGGAACCAATTCCAGACACACTTCCTGGGGAGCCACCAAAGAAGGTCCCCATGGGAGTTAGGGGACCCTTATCCTCAGGAACAGTCGGTCTATGACTTGGAAGGTCTAGTCTAAATTTAAAAGGTATGCCAGGCACGGTGGCTCACGCCTGTAATCCCAGCACTTTGGGAGGCCAAGGCAGGCAGATCACGAGGTCAGGAGATCAAGATCATCCTGGCTAACATGGTGAAACCCATCTCTACTAAAAAATACAAAACAACAACAACAACAAAAATAGCCGGGCGTTGTGGTGGGCGCCTGTAGTCCTAGCTAGTCGAGAGGCTGAGGCAGGAGAATGGCGTGAACCTGGGAGGTGGAGCTTGCAGTAAGCCAAGATTGAGCCACTCACTGTATTCCAGCCTGGGAGACAAAGTGAGATTCCGTCTCCAAAAAAAAAAAAAAAAAAAAAAAAAAATTTAAAAGGTGTTACTGTACATACGGGAATAATTGACTCTGATTATACCGGAAAAATTCAATTAGTTATTAGTCCCTTGACTCCATGGTCTGCCTCCCCAGGAGAAAGAATTGCTCAGTTGTTGCTGTTACCTTACATAAAACTAGGAAGCAGCACAGTGAAAAGAACAGGAGGCTTTCGTAATACTAATCAAGCAGAAAAGGCTGTGCATTGGGTTAATCAACTGTCTGACAAAAGACATATTTGCACAGTAACTATTCAGGGAAAAGATTTTTAAAGACTAGTAGATACTGGAGCTGATGTCTCTATTATTGCTATAAATCAATGGCCCCTGCATTGGCCTAAACAAAAGGCATCCATTGGTATTGTTAGAGTAGGAGGTGCCTCAGAAGTTTTTCAAAGTTCTTTGATTTTACCATGTGAAGGGCCAGATGGTCAGGAAGGGACAATTCAGCCTGTCATTACACCTATTCCTGTCAGTTTATGGGGTAGAGACTTATTGCAATAATGAGATGCTGAAATATCTATTCCTACGGATCAATATAGTAGTAATAATAGTAGACAAATGATGAAAAATACGGGACATTGTCTGGGAAAAGAACTAGGAAAAAATTTAAATGGCCAATGAGAACCTTTAGAAGGACAAATAGATCGAACCAGATTGGAGTGTCATTTTTAGGAGCAGCCATTGTTGAGCCTCCAGCTCCCATTCCTCTTGTTTGGCTAACTGCCAAACCAGTTTGGGTAGAGCAATAACTGCTGAAACAGGAAAAACTGAAGGCTTTAAAAGAACTGGTGCAGGAACAATTGCAAAAGGGACATATAGAGCCTACTCTCTCCCCTTGGAATTCTCCTGTATTTATCATTAAGAAAAAATCAGGGAAATGGAGAATGTTAACAGATGTAAGGGCTGTTAATGCTGTGATTCCACCCATGGGCATGCTACAACCAGGGCTGACCTCCCCAACAATGATCCCAAAATACTGGCCTCTCATAGTGATAGATCTAAAGGATTGCTTTTTTACCATTCCTTTAGCTGCCCAAGATTATGAAAAATTTGGTTTTACTGTTCCCACCATAAATAATAAACCAGCAGATGATCTGGTTGAGTGGCTTTTTCTACCTCACAATACAACCAAAACTCTCACTCTGTACTTAGATCAAATTGCTGTGCTAGTACGGCAAGCGAGGCTGCGCACAACAAAGCTAATGAGATATGATCCAAATCAGATTATAGTTTCATTAACTAAACAACAAATTCAACAAGCCTATATTAATTCCCAAGAATGGCAGGTTAATTTTGCCAGTTTTATTGGCATTCTTGATAATCATTATCCTAAGTCTAAAATCTTCCAGTTTCTAAAATTAACATCCTGGATATTGCCTTCTATTACTCAAAAAGCCCCTATTGAAGGAGCCATTACCATTTTTACTGATGGATCTAGTAATGGAAAAGCCTCATTTGCAACACCTCAACAGCAAGTTTTTCAAACAGACTGCTTCTTTCTGCTCAAAGGGCTGAACTTATGGCCGTGATTATAGTGCTAAAAACTTTTAAGCAGCCAGTAAACATTGTTTCTGATTCAGGCTATGTAGTGCAAGCCATGCAAAATATTGAATGTGCCTTAATTTGAAATGTAGCTGATGAACAACTTAATCTTTTATTTCATTCTTTACAGCAAGCAGTGCAACAAAGGCATTCCCCTTTCTATACCACTCATATGAGAGAACATAGTAACCTCCCTGGCCCTTTAACTAAACTTAATCAAAGGGCAGATGCACTGGTGTCTGCAGCCTTTGCTGATGCACAAACATTTCATTCTTTAACCCATCTTAATGCCTCAGGCCTTAGAAAAAGATGGCCGGGCGCGGTGGCTCAAGCCTGTAATCCCAGCACTTTGGGAGGCCGAGGCGGGCGGATCACAAGGTCAGGAGATTGAGACCACAGTGAAACCCCGTCTCTACTAAAAATACAAAAAATTAGCCGGGCGCGGTGGCGGGCGCCTGTAGTCCCAGCTACTCAGGAGGCTGAGGCAGGAGAATGGCGGGAACCCGGGAGGCGGAGCTTGCAGTGAGCCGAGATCGCGCCACTGCACTCCAGCCTGGGCAACAGCGTGAGACTCCGTCTCAAAAAAAAAAAAAAGAAAAAGAAAAAGATATGGTCTATCATGGAAACAAGCTAAAGAAATTGTGCAACACTGTTCTGCCTGCCAAGTCCTGCATCTGCCACATAAAAGGAGTTAACCCTAGAGGTTTATCTCCAAATTCCATCTGGCAGATGGATGTAACACATATTCCCGCCTTTGGAAAATTGTCCGTTGTTCATGTTTCAGTAGATACCTATTCACATTTTATTTGGGCCACATGTCAAACAGGGGAAGCTACAGCTCATGTTAAAAGACATCTTTTATCTTGCTTTTCAGTTATGAGAATCCCAGAAAAAAATCAAAACTGGTAATGACCTAGGATACTGTAGTAAAGCCATGGCTACATTTTTTCAACAATGGAATAGTACCCATACTACAGTTATTCCATATAACTCACAAAGACAAGCATTACTGGAAAGAGCTAATTGTACTTTAAAAACTCAAATACAAAAGCAAAAAGGAGGGGACCAGGAATATAAGACACTACATATGCAATTGCATTTAGCTTTATTAACATTAAATATTTTAAATTTACAAAAAGATCAACCCGTGACTGCAGCTGAACAACACCTGACAGGACAAAAGGAAAATAAAAAGCCTGGACAAGATATATGGTGGAGGGATGCACATACAAAGAGCTGGGAAAAAGGAAAGATAATTTTATGGGGAAGAGGATTTGCTTGTGTCTCTCCAGGTGACAATCAGGTACCTCTGTGGGTGCCCACCTAACATATGAAGATCTATCATGAACCACAGCATCTAGTGGCCCCACCTGTACAGTGCAAATTGAAAGTTTAAGGATTGCTTTTATTTATTTATTTTGAGATGGAGTTTCACTCTTGTTGCCCAGGCTGGAGTGCAATGGCGTGATCTTCACTCACTGCAACCTCTGCCTCCCAGGTTCAAGTGATTCTCCTGCCTCAGTCTCCCAAGTAGCTGGGATTACAGGCATGCGCCACCACGCCTGGCTAAATTTTTTTTCTTTTTTTCTTTTTTTTGTATTTTTAGTAGAGACGGATTTTCTCCATGTTGGTCAGGCTGGACTTGAACTCCCAACCTTAGGTGATCCTCCACCTCAGCCTCCCAAAGTGCTGGGATTACAGGTGTGAGCCACTGCATCCAGCCTTTGGATTGCTTTTAAGCCTCAGTTTGCTTTCTCTGTGCATTCTGTTAGAAGGGGCCTGCTTCTCATTATCAACGGTAAGTTTTATCTCACAGTAGTTAACCAACGAGGCCAAAACTGAGTTACAACTGCTTCAGTAATGGCATGTCTCCCAGCTACAGCCACAAAAGTTTTTGCTTCTGTTTCAGTAGATTTACTAACATGGGGGTGAGGGTATGCTTGTGTTTTTGCAGGAGATGAACAAACCGTGTAGGTGCCCTCAATGTGTGTACAACCATGGAAGAGGAGACTGGAAGGAGCCATGGATCCCAACCATGTGCCGGGTTCCCCAGTATGAGCCATGCTGAGAAACTGCTGGAGCACCAGGGTTTTACCTATAGATGCTTAACGGACCAATGCTTTCTGACTGAACTCCTCCCTACCTGAATACAAGAGACCCTAATAGATAGGCAGGAGTATCATCGCCCCTACTCAGCATGAAGAAGTTACAGAAAACAGACCTTCATCCTTCTGCAACTCCTAGGATTAAGGGTCCTCTCATAAAAAGGAAAGGGGAGAGGCTGGGCGCGGTGGCTCAAGCCTGTAATCCCAGCACTTTGGGAGGCCGAGACGGGCGGATCACGAGGCCAGGAGATCGAGAGACGATCCCGGCTAACACGGTGAAACCCCGTCTCTACTAAAAAATACAAAAAAACTAGCCGGGCGAGGTGGCGGGCGCCTGTAGTCCCAGCTACTCGGGAGGCTGAGGCAGGAGAATGGCGTAAACCCGGGAGGCGGAGCTTGCAGTGAGCTGAGATCCGGCCACTGCACTCCAGCCTGGGTGACAGAGCAAGACTCCGTTTCAAAAAAAAAAAAAAAAAAAAGGAAAGGGGAGATACGTGGGAAGCATTCAAACCAGAGCAACTCCATTTTGAGTAAGGGCTAAGAAAAATGAAGCTGGATCACCAACTGGCAATTAAGGGCTGCATAACCTGAAATTGCCTTGCCCAATTAATTTAAAAAAGAGGTCACCTTATGCTAGTAATAATGATAGTAGCTGTGGTGGTTTTACAAAAAGAGAAGCAGGGCATGTTGGGAGAAAAGCTGAGTGTTGGGAAAGAAGCTGAGGCAGGGCTTGCATGTCTGCTAGACTTTAGCTCCTTGCCTCTAGCACTCCCATTATCTCAAGCAGCCATGTTTCTCATTCACTTGATACACTGTTTCCTTTCAACCCCCACATCCTCACCACCTGTTTCTTTGTTTGAGCACCAATAAACAGTGTGGGCTCCCAGAGGTGGGGGCCTTCACAGCCTCCCCACTTGCGATGGCCTCCTGGTCCCACTTTTTCTCTCAAACTCTTTTTCTCATTCCTTTGACTCCACCAGACTTCATCGCCCCCAGGACCTGGTGTTGGATCTGATCACCCCAACAAAACCAGTGGGTATCTTGAGTAACAAAAAGTATTGTGTGTTAGGTGCTGTATTAGTCAGTGGGTTTTAGAGGCACGAAGAGTAAGTTGGAACTGGAAGGAGAATTTTGCAATCCTCTCAGGCTAGCATTGCAGTAGCAGATTGCTCTGGCATGTATAAATTTCTTAAACTGTTCTATATGATTTTGATCTAGTTGATGTGAGCACATGAGTCTAAACAAGGGGAAAATTCATTTACAAATGACTTACAAAATACAAAAATTTGCTCACTTCAGCAGCACACATACTAAAATTGGAATGCCAGGTGCGGTGGCTCATGCCTGTAATCCCAGCACTTTGGGAGGCCAAGGCGGGCAGATCACAAGGTCAGGAGATCAAGACCATCCTGGCTAACACAGCAAAACCCCGTCTCTACTAAAAATACAAAAATAAAATTAGCCAGGCATGGTGGCGGGTGCCTGTAGTCCCAGCTACTTGGGAGGCTGAGGTGGGAGAATGGCGTGAACCTGGGAGGCGGAGCTTGCAGTGAGCCAAGATCGTGCCACCACACTCCAGCCAGCCTGGGTGACAGAGTGAGACTCTGTCTCAAAAATAAAATAAAATTGGAATGATACAGAGAAGATTAGCATGACTCCTTTAAAGGAAAGACGTGGTCCGTGTCCTCAAGGGACTCAAGAGTCTGGGAGGGAGCTGAGGCTCATATGCAGGATGTAAAAAATTTACTAGTTCATTCAGTAATTCAGCAAATGCTAAGTGAATGCCAGGCACTCAGAGCGTGGGGTGGGGAGGACTCAAGTGAATAAAGCAAAATTCTTTCTTCCAGAGAATTGACATTTGATCAGGTGATAATAAAAGCTGAGAGGAAAAATGGATTCCTCTTACAGTAGCAGGACCTGAAGCATCATGAATGACGTAAGAAAGGTCTCAGTAGATTGCTGGAGGCAGAGGAGTGACTAGTTCCAGCTGGAGGGTTGGAGAAGATGTGCTTGAGATGGGCCTGAAGGGAGGGGAGGAACTGGCAGGGTAACAGCATGTCACTTGGGAGGCTCCAGTGGTGGCCAACAGCAAAGGCTAGGAAAATGGCAACTGCAAGGCCTGCCTGCGGCTGGACAGGAAACTTGTGGTTGAGAGAATGGGCTCTGAAGAGGACTGCTCAGGGTCAGCTCCCATCCATCCACCTCCCCCAGCTGCTATCTAACCTCTCTGAACCTTAGTTTCTCCACCTATAAACTAGGGGTTTTTTTGTTTGTTTGTTCATTTGTTTTTTGAGACAGAGGCTCACTCTGTCACCCAGGCTGGAGTGCAATGGCACAATCTCGGGTCACTGCAACCTCCACCTTCTGGGTTCAAGCCATTCTCTTGCCTCAGCCTCCCAAGTAGCTGGGAACTCAGACGCCTGCCACCACACCCAGCTAATTTTTGTATTTTTAGTAGAGACAGGGTTTCACCATGTTGGCCAAGCTGGTCTCAAACTCTTGACCTCAAGTGATCAGCCTGCCTCAGCCTCACAAAGTGCTGGGATTACAGGTGTGAGCCACTGTGTTCAGCCTAAACCAGAGGTTATGTTATTAGCGCCTACCTCATAAGGTTATTGTGGGATTTCAGTGAATAGATACGTGGTTAGTGGCACTGAGCTGGTACTTGGGCAATGTCAGCCATGATTTGTAGCCCAGTTTGGCTGGAACCCAGAGGGCGAGGAGCTGTGAAAGATGAGTCTGCCACATTGACTGGGATCCTTAAGAAAGGACGGCCGGGCGCGGTGGCTCAAGCCTGTAATCCCAGCACTTTGGGAGGCCGAGACGGGCGGATCACAAGGTCAGGAGATCGAGACCATCCTGGCTAACACGGCGAAACCCCGTCTCTACTAAAAACACAAAAAATTAGCCGGGCGAGGTGGCGGCGCCTGTGGTCCCAGCTACTCGGGAGGCTGAGACAGGAGAATGGCGTAAACCCGGGAGGCGGAGCTTGCAGTGAGCTAAGATCCGGCCACTGCACTCCAGCCCGGGCAACAGAGCCAGACTCCGTCTCAAAAAAAAAAAAAAAAAAAGAAAGGACTTAAAAGTGACAGCTAAAGACATTTAGTCTTTCCCCTACAGAAGCTGTGGCAGGAAGACTGCTCTGCCTATGACAGAACGAGGAGACTGGAGGAAAGTGTGCATGGCTGGCAACTGACCTCATGTGAGCAGTCAGGGACATGTTCTGGAACTAGGGCGGTGGCAGCAGGGATGGGGAGGAAATACCGGATGCTGGAGGATTATGAGGACAGAAAATTGGCCTGGGTGGTGTGGGAGTGGGGGTGTGACATGGATGATGTTGTGCACTCAGGAACGTCATGAAGGGGAGTGGCCTTGGGAGGACAGCTGCATCAGTGTGGTTTTGCCTTCGAGCAGGGGTGCCCAGTGGTGATGCCCAGGAGAGGGAATGGAATCCTGGAGCTGGGAGTGAGGTTGGAGCTGGAAGAACCAAGACCCAGGGAGACAAGAGTATTCCTGGGGACAAATAGGAACAGCTGAGCGAGGCAAGGCTGAGCCCCGGGCAGGCGTGGGGTGGGTGGGGGGACATGCCTGGCTAGAGGGCGGCAGCAGGAAAGCAGAGAAGGCATCCCTGCAGGTTGGCCCTGGAGCAGAGTGCTGGGTCCCAGCAAGGGACAAGTTAGTTAACTTAAAGTGGGGGCATCCTCAAGGCAGTAAACTGGAGCCAAGTGGGTTAAATCCTTCTTGCTGCTATTAAGAGGAGGAGACAGGTTTCTGCAGATTCTACATTTTGGAGAGAAACAAAAAAGAATGTCCCCAAGTCTCCTTTGCCCTGCGATGCTGGGCCAGATTGGCAAGGTCTCAAGAGAAGCACAACGGTGACCGACGCTGACGCTGCCCTTGGCTGAACTTCTGTTAAATCCTTCGGATGTGAGTAGACTTCATATATATATATGTATACACACACACACACACACGTACGTAATTTTTTTTTAAAAATGAGACAGCGTCTCGCCATGTTGCCCAGGCTGGTTTTGAACTCCTGGGCTCAAGCAATCCCCCCACCTCGCCCTCCCAAAGTGCTGGGATTACAAGCGTGAGCCACCGCACCCGGCCTGTAGCCTTTAATAGTGGATTTTAAATGTGCGTAACATTTTAAAATGTGCTTATTCTTTGTTAGAATTAGGGTGAAATATCTACTTGGCTGATTTTCCTTTCTATCTACTCTATACTTGTAATATCGAGTATACATATTTCTACTATTATAACCGGAAGGACTTGTTCCCCCGGTTGTACATTCCCTCATGATAAGCAAGATTTTCAGTGTTTGTTTCAATATTCATGATTAATACTTGTCTGTTCTCCTTCACTTCCTACGCTACGTTTTCCTAAAATTCCTGGATTTGGTATCAGTTCTGTAGAGGTGGACAGCAAGGCTCAGGGCGGTAGGAAGGAAACTCCTCCAAACCTCAGTCTTCATACCCCATGGTCCGGGTGTCCAGGCAACCTCCAAGCGGACCCTCCGGGCCCCATGGAGCGTCCCAGTGCCTGGGGCTAGAGGCTGGTGCTCGCTAAGTAAGGGTGGGGGCAGGTCCCTGCGCACCGCGGTATCTTCCCGCCCGCTCACCAAACGTGCGCGCGGCAGGAAGGGACCCACTCGATGGATCGCGCCTCTCTGAGTCCTTCTCTAGAAAAAGGGGCCACTCGCTTATGAGGGCAAAGGATGGCGCAACCACGTGTCACAAGCCCCAGTGGCCTAATGGATAAGGCACTGGCCTCCTAAGCCAGGGATTGTGGGTTCGAGTCCCACCTGGGGTAAAAGTGGCAAGTTTCTTCACGGTGTTTTTTTATTTATTTTCTCTTCCCTTCTCAGAGACGCTGGAATCCACTTTGGTCTGTGGTTCGACACCCGTGCAACGTGTTGAGGAGGAGCCACCTCCTCCAAGTACCGAAAGCCGGTAAGCGCGGATCTCGCCAAGCCCTTGAATGAACAGCTTTCGTCTGGGTAGGGCCCCACAATTTCGAAGCTGGGGTAAGTCGTAAGAATAAAGTTGCTCAAAGGGTTCCCAGGACACCCCAGCTCCACCTGGCGGGGCAGCCCCGGAGAACCAGGGGTATGACCACCGCGACTGCAAACTGAGGGTCCTGCAAGAGAAGGTGAGGGGCGCAAACCAGGGCAGAGGCAAGCAAGTAGCGGGCAGGTGGTGGTGGATTCTGAGGTCTCCGGTTGCCAACACCAAAAGTTATCTTGGGAGCACAGTCCCACCCCAGGTGGGACTCGAACCCACAATCCCTGGCTTAGGAGGCCAGTGCCTTATCCATTAGGCCACTGGGGCGCGGTAAGATGCCAAACCCACGTGCTCATTGATAGGCATACGACCATACGTGCCCAAACACGGCCCTGCAGTGGGTCACCGCGCTCCAAGCCTGAGAAGCCATCGGGACGACGGGATGAACCGCCCGCTGGGCGCGGCATCCCCACCGGGCTACGCAAGAGCTCCACGCGGTGGCGATGCGCGGGGAACAGGAGCCCGCGGTGCCCTGTAACGCCGAGAAGCAGCACTCGGCGAGCGCAGAGCCCGGTGGAGCATAGCTGGGAGGATTAGGGATGCAGGAGGACAGAGGGAAGAACAAACCCTCAAACGATGCTGGGGTTCGGGCACGGGCTGCTCGCTCAAAAAGAACCCGACCACAAAGGAACCTTAAATCTTACGATCTGAAGTCAGACGCCTCAACCCTTAGGCCACGCGATCACAATTCCCAGGGAAGCTCTGAGACTAGTCCAGGTGCTGCTCCGCTCGGGGGTGACTACGCGTGCGGCTGGGGCTAGAGGGAGGGTGAGCGCTTCGCTATAGGCGGACAGGGTGCGAGCACCGAAGCTGCGCCACGCCCGAGCATTTAATAACCATCAAATTGGTCTCCCGGGTGAGCAAACATAGAAGGCGACCGCGTGGCCTAATGGATAAGGCGTCTGACTTCGGATCAGAAGATTGAGGGTTCGAGTCCCTTCGTGGTCGGAATATTTTAATCCTTGCAACTATAATCTCCGTCTCTTTACTTGTTTTAGGCCCAGAAATGCCTTCCAATCCCTCGGTATCGCGGCTCCCGGGATCCGATGCTGGGGAGCTGCTTCTGTCCAATCAGGCTTTGCATCCCGGGACGCTTCCGGTTATGGCGTCATTACGCAGCCTGTGGCGTCTCATTCTAAAAGACGTGATCGCGCGGAGGCTTGTGTGGTTCCCCGTTGGCCTAATGGATACAGCGTTGGACTTTTTTAGGGTTTGGGCTCTGGGTTCGAACCACGTTTGTGGTGGCGTAGCCTAGCTGCAGAAAGCTGATCTTTTGAGATCCATTTTAATAGAAGTAATTTTTTTAAAAAAAGTTATAACGTAAAAAACAAAAACCAACTGGCACGTTTTGTCTTTTTAACATCATTTACCTTTATTTTGTGCATGTGTCTATTTCAATTAATTTTCCTTCTAGATGAAGACTGACTGAAAGGCAAACCGATGTGAGGATAAGTGGGGCCCCATTTCTTGTTGTCTTGTACCTTGAACGAGTTCAACATCCAAACATTCGCCTCGTAAACGTGCTCTACAAGCTACAAACCCACAAGCAAATGAAACGGGGCGGGTTATGTTTCGGTCTATCCTTATGAAGTTAAACAGCAGACAAAACTCTAGTCTCTGGCCAGGCCCAATGGCTCACGCCTGTAATCCCAACACTCTGGGAGGCTGAGGCGGGCGGATCACGAGGTCAAAAGTTAGAGTCGTGATCGCTCCACTGCACTCCAGCCTGGGCAACAGAGTGAAAGTCTGCTTCAAAAAACCAAACAAACAAAAAACTCCAGTCCCTAGCCTCAAGGGCAGTGGGGGTGCTGCCCAACTCTCCGGCCTCAGTCCTGCTAGTGGGCTCTGTCCACATTCAGAGGGCACCCACCACCCCACTACCCTGTCCTTGGAGGAAGAGGGTGTCAGCATGCTTGTGTGTGCAAGTGTACTTGGACATAGGGGAAGAAAAATGCTAATTTTTTATCTTTCTTCTTTTTTTTTTTTTTTTTTTCTTTTTCTTCTTCCCTGAGACAGAGTCTGGCTCTGTCACCCAGGCCGGAGTGCAGTAGCATGATCTCAGCTTATTGCAAGCTCCACCTCCTGGGTTCACGCCATTCTCCTGCCTCAGCCTCCCAAAGTGTTGGGATTACAGGCGTGAGCCACTGGGCCCTGCCAGGGACTGGAGTTTTGTCTTCTGTTTAACAGCAGACAAACAAGCTGGGACTACAGGCGCCCGCCACCACGCCCGGCTAATTTTTTGTATTTTTAGTAGAGACGGGGTTTCACCGTGTTGGCCAGGATGGTCTCGGTTTCCTGACCTCGTGATCCACCTGCCTCAGCCTCCCAAAGTGCTGGGATTACGGGCATGAGCCACCGCGCCCGGCCAATGCTAATTTCTTTTACCAGTCAGCGTCTGGAAGGAAGAAGATGGCACACTCCCACTGGGTAATCCGAGGAGCGTTTAAAGGAGGCCCGTTTAGCAAGGGCAAGTGTAAGGAAACGTGAGGACTCCAGGATGGGCATTAGTAACGAGCTGTCCCCATCACCAGGCCTAAGGGCTACAAAAGGCAGCAGCTCCTGGAACCTGGAATCGGGTTTGGAAAGTCGCCCCCAGGAGCCAAGATGTCAGGTCCAGAGATGCAGAGAGCCCTTGGTGACCTTATCGCAGGGAGGGAGCCAAGGGAGTAAATACTCGCCTTCAGCTTCCTCCTTCCCTCTACTCTCCCGCTGCTGAGGCTCGGCCTAAAGCCAGAGGGCAGGAAGCCTGGTGGTGCCTCCCAGACATGATGGGGTGACGAGCAGAGGAGCCGGGGAAAGGCGGAGAGTCGGGCTGCAGGGTCAAAGGGGATGACATCCGGCATTCAGAGTTTGCCAAAAAAAAAAAAAAAAGCCTCCATTTTACTCATAACCCTCACAACAACGCTGAGAGGGAGGAAGGGGGCTGATGGATGAGAGGAAGGAGTCGCCAGGAGTAGGCAAAACGAAGTCAAAATAGTGCTACTCTGGGATAGGGGTAGCTTCAGAAGCGCTTTGGGAAGCTGCTGATTTTCCCATGAGAACAGGTCTGTTCCGCCTGTGAAACATCAGAGCGGTGTACACTTAACGATGTTCTCAATTTCCTCTGTATGCATTTATTTTTATTTTTATTTTTTTTATTTTTTTTTTTTTTGAGACGGAGTCTCGCTCTGCCGCCCAGGCTGGAGTGCAGTGGCCGGATCTCAGCTCACTGCAAGCTCCGCCTCCCGGGTTTACGCCATTCTCCTGCCTCAGCCTCCCGAGAAGCTGGGATTCCGTTAGCTGGGACTACAGGCGCCCGCCACCTCGCCCGGCTAGTTGTGTTTTTTTTTTTTTTTTTTTTTTTTTTTTTGTAGAGACGGGGTTTCACTGTGTTAGCCAGGATGGTCTTGATCTCCTGACCTCGTGATCCGCCCGTCTCGGCCTCCCAAAGTGCTGGGATTACAGGCTTGAGCCACCGCGCCCGGCCTGCATTTATTTTCTTTTAGTAAAGTGCTGTTTTGTTTTTGTTTGAGACAGAGTCTTGCTCTGTCGCCCAGACCGGAGTGCAGTGGCGCCATCTTGGCTCACTGCAGCGTCAGCCTCCTGGGTTCAAGCGATTCTCCTGCCTCAGCCTCATGAGTAGCTGGGACTACAGGCGCCTGCTGGGATTGCACCATATTGGTAAGGCTGCTTACGAACTGCTGACCTCAAATGATCCACCTGCCTGGGCCTCCCAAAGTGTTGGGATTATAGGCGTGAGCCACCGCCCCCAGCCATGTGTGTTTGTAAGTATACTATTCTGTATTCTGGCCAGGGATTTGGGGTGTTTGTTTGTTTGAGACGGAGTCTTGTCGCCCAGGCTGGAGTGCAATGGCGTGATCTCCGCTCACCGCAACTTCCGCCTCCCGGGTTCAAGCGATTCTCCTGCCTCAGCCTCCTGAGTAGCTGGGATTACAGGCGCCCGCCACCACACCCGGCTAATTTTTGTCTTTTTGGTAGAGATGGGGTTTCACCGTGTTAGCCAGGATGGCCTCGATCTCCTGACCTCGTGATCCGCCCGCCTCGGCCTCCTAAAGGGCTGGAATTATAGGCGTGAGCCACCGCGCCCGGCTTTGTTTTTGCTTTTTACTTGAAAACCTTCGCTCCTGCGGAGCTTTGGGTGGGCTTCCCTGGTTGTATACATGGCAGCTTCCCATCAGCCTATTCCAGGTTGAATACTGCAACATTTTGAGGATACTATATTTACTATTTACTTAGGGAGCGTCCATTGTTTCATCTTTTTTTTTTTTTTTTTTTTCTGAAATGGAGTTTCGCTTTTGTTCCCCAGGCTGGAGTGCAATGGCATGATATCAGCTCACCACAACCTCTGCCTCCTGGGTTCAAGCAATTCTCCTGCCTCAGCCTCCCGAGTAGCTGGCATTACAGGCATGCCCGGCTAATTTTGTATTTTTAGTAGAGACAGGGTTTCTCCATGTTGGTCAGGATAGTCTCGAATTCCCGACCTCAGGTGATCTGCCCACCTTGGCCTCCCAAAGTACTGAGATTACAGGCGTGAGCCACTGTGCCCGGCTTTTTTTTTTTTTTTTTTTTTTTTTTTTTTAAGACAGGGTCTCACTCTGTCACCCAGGCTGCACTGCAGTGGTGCAATCATAGCTCACTGCAACCTTGAACTCCTGAGCTCAAAGAATTCTCCTGCCTCAGCTCCCTGCCAATCCCAAGTAGCTGGGACTAAAGGCACATACTACTGCACACTGGTTTTGCTTGTTCATTTGTTTTAGATTCAAGGTCTTGCTTTTTTGCCCAGGCTCGCCTTGAACTTCTGGGCTCAAGCAATCCTCCCACCTTGGTCTCCCAAAGTGCTGGGATTACGGGCATGAGCCACTATACCTGGCCTCATCAGATTCTTGGAAGTCCTTGATTCAAAAAAAATTTTTGACTTAAAAATGTGATCTCGTACTTATGTAAAAGAAACAACGAACCAAACTAGAAGAACAAACTTCTCTTGTCCCTTCTCCAGGGCCATCCAGAATTCTTACTGTTCTCTCCATCCAAGACCAGCACCAAGTTGAATGGACACTACTTTTAAGCTGGCTCTGGCTTCCAAGCCCTGGCACATGGTGGCAGCAGCGTGTCTCCAGCCTGGACACTAGAGCCATCACTGCTTTTCTGGGCTTCAAGCTTCGGTTCCCCACAAACCACCCTCCAGGCCCTGCCTCGATGGGACTTACACTCTAGTGAGAGAGAGGGACAATGAACAAACCAATAAACAAGATGATTTCAAAGGAAAGAGGGTGATGGGAAACTTTTGACTAGTGAGAGAGGAACAGTTGAGGAGGGGCATTTGGTCCAGCCCTAAATTATGGGAAGGGGCCAGCCACATAAAAAGATCCTATAAAGGCCGGGCACGGTGGCTCACACCTGTAATCCCACTTTGGGAGGCAGAGGCGAGTGGATCACGAGATCAGGAGATCGAGACCATCCTGGCTAACACAGTAAAATCCCATCTCTACTAAAAACAGAAAAATTAGCTGGGCATGGTGGTGGGCACCTGTAGTCCCAGCTACTCAGGAGACTGAGGCAGGAGAATGGCATGAACCTGGGAGGCAGAGCTTGCAGTGAGCTGAGATCTCGCCACTGCACTCCAGCCTGGGTGACAGAGGGAGACTCTGTCTCAAAAAAAAAGAATTTTCACTTGTATATTTAAGTTATTTGTTTATCCTATAAATACTTGTTTAAGAAAGTCAGGATGGGCTGGCCGCGGTGGCTCACGCCTATAATCCCAGCACTTTGGGAGGCCCAGGCGGGCAGATTACCTGAGGTCAGGAGTTTGCGACCAGCCTGACCAACATGGTGAAACCCCATCTCTACTAAAAATACAAAAATGAGCTGGGTGTGGTGGCAGGCGCCTGTAATCCCAGCTACTTGGGAGGCTGAGGCAGGAAAATTGCTTGAACCCGGGAGACGGAGGTTGCAGTGAACCAAGATAGCACCATTGCACTCCAGCCTGGGCAACAAAGAGGGAAGCTCCTCCTGGAAAAAAAAAAAAAAAAGAAAGAAAGGCAGGATACTTAATTTTTGTCCTTCGATGCCAGCTTTTAGAGTAATCTCGATACAGCCAACCTAGCCAAAGACAGACAGCTTGTACTTAGATATGGGGTTGACTCAGTTTGAATTTTGCCTAACAGGAGGTCTTTACTGATTCATATTCATCATAATTATGTTTGATTCTGTAATTATGCTATTTAATTCTGTAACTTTTGCTATATAGAATGTACTTTTCCCCTCCTAGTGATTTGCAAAGCGTAATCCTATTTTTACTACTACTACTACTTTTTTTTTTTTTTTTTTGAGGCGGAGTCTTGCTCTCTCACCCAGGCTGGAGTGCAATGGTGCCATCTTGGCTCACTGCAACTTCTGCCTCCTGGGTTCAAGCCATTCTTCTGCCTCAGCCTCCTGAGTAGCTGGGATTACAGGAGCCCGCCACCATGCCCGGCTAATTTTTATTTATTTATTTATTTTTTAGTAGAGACGGGGTTTCACCATGTTGGCCAGGCTGGTCTCGAACTCCTGACCTTGGGTGATCTGCTCGCCTAGGCTTCCCAAAGTGCTGGGATTACAGGTGGGAGCCACCGTGCCCGCCAATAATTACCTTTTTTTTTTTTTTTTTTTGAGACTGAGTTTTGCTCTCGTTGACCAGGTTGGAGTGCAATGGTGCGATATCGGCTCACCACAGCCTCTGCCTCCTGGGTTCAAGCGATTCTCCTGCCTCAGCCTCCCGAGTAGCTGGGATTATAGGCATGCACCACCATGCCCGGCTAATTTTTAATGGGTTTTTTTTTGTTGTTGTTTTTGTTTTTGTTTTGTTTTTTAGTAGAGACTGGGGTTTTTCCATGTTGGTCAGGCTGGTCTCGAACTCCTCCCAACCTCAGGTGATCTGTCCGCCTAGGCCTCCGAAAGTGTTGGGAGTACAGGCGTGAGCCACCGCGCCCGGCCAAATTACCTTTTAATGTAAAATTAATGCATGTACAACGCAAAAATGCTGAACAATCCAAGAGGGCATTAAAAAATAAAAATACCTCCTTCCCACCCAGGTGCCTTTAGCTGAGCCTGTTCCCAGTTGCTTGCTCACTGTTATTTAGCACAGGGAATCTCCCAAAGGGCTCCCCTAATGCTGGGGATGCCCCCTTCACATCCCAACACCTTCACGGGGCTCGGCAGTGCTCGGTGCTCTCCTTGAATAGCGCGAGCTCTAACCAGGCATTTTTTTTCTCAAATCCCTGCGCTTTCACTAGGCTGTCGTCTGCATCCTCAGATCCTCAGAGGGATGGCTGAGTGCCAGTTCAGTGACTGCAGTCTCGCAGGGGAAGGGTGTGGTACTTCTCTTATGCACATTAAAGGCCTTGCACAGCTACTGCTCCTCATCTCTTTCCAGTCTTATGGTTGACTCCAGTAGTTTTGGGAGGAGTAGACTCTGCCCTTCTGCTGCCTTCCATCTTCAACCCGGCCTTACTCCTACCAATCAGGAGCCACACACCCAGGCTCTCCTCTGCTTATGTTCTTAAAGACCACACAGATTTCTCGAGGGTTGTCAGGCACTGTTGCTCTTCTACAATATACTGCGCCTGCAGAAATGGCTGAAATGGGCCAGGCGCGGTGGCTCACGCCTGTAATCCCAGCACTTTGGGAGCCCAAGGCGGGCAGATCACGAGGTCAGGAGATCCAGGCCATCCTGGCTAACCCGGTGAAACCCCGTGTCCACTGAAAATACAAAAAATTAGCCAGGCGTGGTGGCGGGCGCCTGTAGTCCCAGCTACTTGGGAGGCTGAGGCAGAATGGCGTGAACCCGGGAGGCGAAGGTTGCAGTGAGCTGAGATCGCACCACTGCATTCCAGCCTGGGCGACAGAGCAACTCTGTCTCAGAAAAAAAAAAAAGAAAGAAATGGCAGAAATGTCACGTCTCCCCTGCGTAGACTATGTAGACTTTTCCTACAGCATTTAAGCCACATCAAGTCAGCCTTTGCCTACTTTCTTACCTAGAAACTTCCCCGGTTATCTCATTTAATTCTCATTACAATCCTGATATTTGTAAATGAGAAAACGAAAGTTTCAAGCCAGTAAACAATTAATCTAAAATCAGCAATTAGGTGGTAGGCATAACAGGTCCTCTGACTTTAAGGACAACTCTTTCTACCACCATACTTTTTTTTTCTTTTTTAAAACTTGCATTCCTCTATGATCTACTACCTTGCTTTAAACCATCTCTATTTCCTGACATTGCTCAGGAGGTCTGCTAACCATAGTAAATAGTGGGGATTTTAAAACTCTATGAAGTTAAAATAATTTTCCATGTTCAAATGCAAAAAGCTGTAAATTAACTTTGCAGCATGAAAGTTTTCCTTTTTTGGCCGGGCGCGGTGGCTCAAGCCTGTAATCCCAGCACTTTGGGAGGCCGAGACGGGCGGATCACGAGGTCAGGAGATCGAGACCATCCTGGCTAACACGGTGAAACCCCGTCTCTACTAAAAATACAAGAAAATTAGCCGGGCGAGGTGGCGGGCACCTGTAGTCCCAGTTACTTGGGAGGCTGAGGCAGGAGAATGGCGTGAACCCGGGGGGGGGGGGGGGGGGGGGCGGAGCTTGCAGTGAGCCGAGATCGCGCCACTGCACTCCAGCCTGGGAAAGAAAGTTTTCCTTTTTTTTAGAGGCAGAGTCTCGCTCTGTCACTCAGGCTGGAGTGCAACGGCACAATCTCGGCTCACAGGAACCTCTGTCTCCCAGGTTCAATCAAGCCTCAAGCTGAGACTAAGATGCCTCAGCCTCCCAAGTAGCTGGGATTACAGGTGCCCCCCACCACACCCGGCGAATTTTTGTATTTTTAGTAGAGATGGGGTTTCACCATGTTGGCCAGGCTGGTCTCGAACTCCTGACCTCAGGTGATCCACCCACCTGGGCCTCCCAAAGTGCTGGGATTACAGGCGTGAGCCACGCCCAGACCAAAGTTTCCTTTTCTAATACCACTTTTGTGCTCAAAAACTGAAGCACAGAAAAGTAAAGCCCTGCTGTTACACCTAGCCATTTGGACCAGCTGTTTTTGTGACTTACTAATGGACAAGCAGGAGTACTCCCTTGGAACCAGGGGTTTGAAACCTAAGAGGAAGTTGAAGAGAATCAGCATGTAACAATTCTTTACCACACTGCCATAGCACCTAGTGTTATTTGTTGCCATTTCAGCAGTCCTGGGGCCTCAGTAAGTGGCACCTACATAGCCTGTCAGACAACCAGCCCAACAAACCTCTCTAGGCTCACCTTTCTATTTAAATAAAAAGTCCACTGCCAGTGAGGCCACCTCAGAAGAGAGGCTTAGTTATCTCAACCAGAGAAGAAGACACACCCAGAACTGTGTAATTATTATTTTTAATGTCCAGAATGTGTAATACAAGGGCCAGAGCTTCCTCCTGGACTCAATTTTATAAATTCTCGATTGGTTGGTGAGGCCAATAGGGATACTTTTTCTTGTCTAATTTGGTTTCTGGGAAAGCTTCGTTCAAGTCCTCAATGGTCATCTGATCAAATGGAATTAAGTTCTTCATCTTCTCCATCTGGAAAGAGGGGAAATGTGTTTAGTTAATGTAAACAGAGACGGAAAGCAGAATATCCAAGGCAGGTTCCTGCCACCAGGTGGCCATGAAAGAAACGATATTATAGGCAACGGTTACCCATCATCCTTACCTGTTTCTCATATTCTACAATCCTGGCCTTTGAGAGAGACACCCACTCAGCACAAGATTTCACCTTTAAGAAGAAAGAGAAATTCAGTTCTGAAACCAGGCTGCATTCTACCCCAGCAGCTGCTAAAGTAGGAGTCGTCCCAATCCACTCCTGCTGTCCTATTGCTCTATGGAGAATCCGTGGTTACCCTGACCTCTTGGGGGCACTCACTCTGAGAGGCAAACCACAGCTTTTACTAACACTCACAAAGAAGCCCATACTGGAAAACCAGCTTAGGATGGCAGCACCCGGCTGCTTCTGCAAGTTCCTCATCCGGAAGACCTACAGAATGCCTGTTTTCACAGGGCTCAGCCACTGAATGGTCAGGACACGCCACCTGAGCACCTAGCCAGACTTCTCTTTGGTGGAGCCACTGAGTTCCAAAGTTTGGCCTTCAGTGCTTTCAAGCAAATACTTAGGTATTTTAATACTACTTGGATAATTTTTCTAATTCCAACTCCTTGTTTTTAACAGCTTTGTTGAGGTATATCTGAAATATGAGAAAATGCACATATTTAAAGAACACCATTTGATAAGTTTTGATATTTGTATCCACCTGTGAAACCAGCAGTCCCCTCTCAACCATCCCCAGGCAGCCACTGTAGACTTAACTACATTTTCTAGAGTCTTATAAAGATGGAATCATATGCTATACTCTTCTTTTTCTTGTTGGCTTCTTTCACTCAGCATAATTATTTTGAAATTCGTCCATGTTGTTGCATTTATTGACAAGCCATTCCTTTATGTGGTTAACTCTTTAATTTTCCATTTAATTCACTCTACTTTAACCTAGCTGTAATAAAGAGTCACGATCGAGAGAATTTTAGAATAAGCAAGAGCCTCAACTACTTACATCTTCTTTTTCTTCGGCATCCACCTGGGCAGTATATTTATCCTGTGGCACAGGAATCTTCAGGGCATTAAACTACAAATACAAGGACAGTGAGTTGTCGCCAATACACCCAGGAGCCCAAAGGGCTGGAAGCTACTAATCCAGGTCAGAAACAGAGCAGGTCAAAACTCCTGTGCTGATCAGAAAGCCCTCTGGCTCCCAGATTAAGGCTACACTGTACTGCTGAATGAACAGAGCCTAAATTCCTGTGCCTATTTACAGTTCAATCAACCACAAGGCCTTTGGCCATAGGCATCTTTCCTAAGCTTCCTCAGGGATCTGGCTATCACGCTGCGTATGTAATTATCCCTGTTCCTGCTCCCCACCCACAGGCATGTTACAAGCTCAGTGCTTTAGAGGTATGAAGTCCCACCTTTTTCTCAAAGTCATCCACCAAGCCGGCCTTGGCCACATTGGCCTTGTAGTAAGCCCAGTCGATAGCTGGTGGAGTCTCAGGTAAAGCAGCCAACCTGCCCACAAGGAATGGCAAAAGTTAGCATTGTTCATAAGCAGTAGAAAATTCACATGGTAATTTTCCTATCCCTTCCTCCTATGGCCTGGAGGGTCACCACACTTTCCTAGGATCATCATGAAAATGCCAGGATTTCTTTATAGGTTGTCAGAAAGGCATTAATAATTCATACGTAATTCCTTAATACTGTTTTGTTTCTAGATTCAGTGGCAAGTATGGGGTTCCCTCTCAGAAACATACTGACCTGGAGGTGAGGGTCTCATGCCAGGACTTCAGGGAACTAGCAATGGCCTTTTGGTTCTGGGGTATGATCTCCGCAAAAGCTACCCAGTCAATGGTTTTTAGAGCAAGTTTTCGCCCAGCCATCTTGGGATCCTGAAAAATAAGTCAGATAAAAACAAGGCTTTTTTATGAGGTGAATTTTCAGTTGGGAAAAATGATAAATAACAAAATAAGACCTCTTAGAGAGAATCCTTTAAATCTTAGAAACATGCAAGTCTTCACAAGAATCACTTGAACCCAGGAGGCGGAGGTTGCAGTGAGCCGAGATCACATCACTGCACTCCAGCCTGGGAGACACAGCAAGACTCTATCTCAAAAAAAAAAAAAAACAAAAAAAAACAGTGTTAACTTTTCAAATTCAAGGTAATTCAAGGTGTGCAGCCAGGCATAGTGGCTCACGCCTGTAATCCCAGCACTTTGGGAGGCCAAGATAGTTGGATCACCTGAGGTCAGGCGTTCAAGACCACCATGGCCAAAATGGCAAAACCCCGTCTCTACTAAAAATACAATAATTAGCCAGCCGTGGTGGCCCACGCCTGTAATCCCAGCTACTCTGGAGGCTGAGGCACAAGAATCACTTGAACCCAGGAGGCAGAGGTTGTAGTGAGCTGAATCGCACCAGTGCACCCCAGCCTGGGCGACAGAGCAAGACTCCGTTTCAAAAAGAAAAGAAAAAGTGTGACTTCAAATTCAAAGTGTGCAAACTGGCATAGAAATACATTCTCGCCCAACTCCTATTTAGCCTTAAAAGTCCAGCTCTCTAGGCTGGGCACAGTGGCTCACGTCTGTAACCCTAGCACTTTGGGAGGCTGAGGCGGGCAGATCACTTGAGGTCAGGAGTTCAAGACCAGCCTGATCAATATGGTGAAACCCTGTCTCTACTAAAAATAGAAAAATTAGCCAGGAGTGATGGCATGCACCTGTAGTCCCAGGTACTCAGGAGGCTGAGACAGGACAATCGCTTGAACCTGGGCGGCGGAGGCTGAAGTGAGCTGAGATAGCACCATTGCACTCCAGCCTGGAAGACAGAGACTCTGTCTCAAAAAAAAAAAAAAAAAAAAAAAAGGCCCAGCTCTCTTTATCCCCTCCATGTACCTCTGGAAATATTACTAAAAATAACACTCAGGTTGCATAAAAGTTAATAAAGACATTTCCACCCAGATTGTGTTTTATTCACTGATTCTCCAGTAGACAGAAACTGACACATACCTAAGTTTCAACAAGCTTTACATAGGGCACTCTCTAGGCTACAATTTACTTATGTGTAAAATGGGCATTATCAGTCCTGCTTGCCCGAGGGCTGTTAAAAGTATCACATGAAATTGTGCATATCAACTTGCTCCATAGTTTTACACAAACTTAAAGGGGCTCTCTATGCCTTTCCAACTAGATTGATAATACACCTGTACGTTCTTATTCAGGTAGGATTATACCCTAGCAGCACCAGCACACGTTCTGCACTTTTTTTGGGAGGGATGGAGTTTCACTCTGTCCCCTAGGCTGGAGTGCAGTGGCATCATCTCGGCTCACTGCAACCTCCACCTCCCAGGCTCAAGCAATTCTCCTGCCTCAGGCTCCCGAGTAGCTGGGATTACAGGCGCCCACCATCACACCCAGCTAATTTTTGTATTTTTAGTAGAGACAGGGTTTCTCCATGTTGGCCAGGCCGGTCTGAAACTCCTGACGTCAGGTGATCCACCCGCCTCAGCCTTGCAAAGTGCTGGGATTACAAGCATGAGCCACCGCGCCCCGGGCCTGCATTTTAAGAGGCATTTAATACATGTGAAAATGTGAGAAAAATATGGAAAATGACTACAGCCACTTAAAAAAAAAAAAAAGAATATAGGAAAATAGTCCTCTTTAAGATCAGGGTCAGATATTAAAAGACTACAAAGTCAAAGATCTCTATAAGCTTGGAGTGGAATACAAGGGAGGCTGAAGCAATCTTAGGATCTTCAAGAAAGTTGTCAAACACCTGTCCCGTCGTTCCTTTCTTTCTTTCTCAGGACAACTTGTTTCCTGTTGTGGAGGGGAGGTGTTAAGGCAATTGGTATATGACTTTAAAGTTACTAGGGAATCAAGCGCCCTTACAGACTTTCCTAAGTACCAGTAGAAAGTAGAAGCCACAAATAATTTTTTTTTTTTTTTTTTGATGAGACAGAGTCTCGCACTGTCCCCTAGGCTGGGGTGCAGTGGTGTGGTCTCGGCTCTCTGCAACCTCCGCCTCCCAGGTTCCAGCGATTCTCCTGCCTCAGCCTCCAGAGTAGCTGGGATTACAGGCGCCTTCCACCAGGCCCAGCTAATTTTTTGTATTTTTAGTAGAGGCGGGGTTTCACCATGTTGGCCTGGCTGGTCTCGAACTCCTGACCTCGCAATTCGCCCGCCTTGGCCTCCCAAAGTGCTGGGATTACAGGCGTGAGCCACTGCGCCGGGAGACATTTTTTTTAATTCTTAAAAATCTATTGCTTAATCCCCAGCGCCTAGAACAGATCATGCGCATAGGAGGTGCTCAATAAATCTTTCTTGAATGAGTAACTGAACTCTGCACCTGAGGAGCCCTGAACGCTCTACACGTTCGAATCCTGGAAGCCGCCGGAGGGAGGGGAAGGGCGCAGGCCCGCAGCCAGCTGAGCGTCCCTCGGCAAGTTAACACTGTCTGCGTAACGTTTCCCCAGTCCCCCCACCAAACTATTGAAGTCTGCCGCGCTGGGAGCGGATTGCACGAGACACGGCTTGTGGCAGCGCCTAAATCAGCGGCGCCCAGGACACAGCCGGGCCCCCTTGACCCCGCGCGCCCAGGAGGGCTGAGGAAGGGATCGCGGGGCGAGGAGCGGCAGCTACACAAGGAACACTCTGACAGCGGGGCAAGCCGACGGCCCGGAGTTCTTGACGGGGGCGTGACAAGGGTCGGCGTGAAGTCTAGAGAGGGCAGAGCAGAGGAGCCCTCCAGGTATCCGATCCAACGCCCCAAGCCCCACTCACCTTCACCGACCCTGGCTGCCCACGGTCCACCGCAGCAAATAACGGAAGTGGGTCACCGGAAGATCTTTCCTCAGCCAACCCCAAAGCCAAGGGGGTGGGCCTTGCTTCGCAGATCAGCCAATAGAGATGAGGGCTGGTTCCGGAAGTCTCTCCCCGGGGGCGGGCACAGCGCCTCCGCCGCGCGGGTCCCCGGGCGCTGGTTGGGGGCGCTCCCGTCCCTCTCCCCTCTGCCCCACCCCCGCCGATGGGCCGGCCCGGCTCTCCCTGCCGAGAAATGGGCCGGCCCGGCTGCGCACGGGCAGCGGCGGCGGCGGCGGCGGCCCAAGATGGCGGAACTACAGCTGGACCCGGCGATGGCGGGGCTAGGAGGGGGCGGCGGGAGCGGGGTGGGCGACGGGGGTGGCCCAGTCCGCGGGCCCCCCAGCCCACGCCCGGCTGGCCCCACGCCCCGCGGGCACGGCCGCCCGGCTGCCGCCGTCGCACAGCCGCTGGAACCGGGTCCCGGACCACCCGAGCGGGCAGGGGGCGGCGGCGCGGCCCGCTGGGTCAGGCTGAACGTGGGAGGCACCTACTTCGTGACCACCAGACAGACCTTAGGCCGCGAGCCCAAGTCATTCCTCTGCCGCCTCTGCTGCCAGGAGGACCCGGAGCTGGACTCAGACAAGGTGTGCCCCGCCCTCGGGCGCGCCCCCGGGCCTTCGGACCCCCTGGTTTCTCCTAGATCAGTCCCCGGAGTCCTGAGAAACGCTCTTCACAGGCAGCCCCCCTCAGGCTGGGCCCCCATCCTCCCCCTGCTTCCCACACTACCCGCAGGGGCCTCAGAGGGACCTCCCTCTCCCCTTCTCCCATGCTGAGGCATACTCTGACTTTCTCCCCGACCCCGCCCTTCGTTCTTCGAGACTCCTTCCCACACTGCGCCCACCCGCACCCACGAGAACGCACTCCACACCCCTTCTCCATATTCTCTACCCCTGACATCCCACTGAGATATGCATGAGTTTTCCCTGGCTCCTCTTCAGCCCCCCACTGCCAGTGCCAGATGCATCCAGAACTGGGTCAGGGTGAGCTCAGGCATCCTTGTAGCTTTCTCAGACTCCCTCTCGGACCCCTCTGCCAAGTTGGGCTTCGACAGCTGCAGGAAGCGCTTCTTGTGATATCGCACTGCTTTCCTATAGTCCTGGTCGCAGAACTTTTATCTAGTAACAGTCACTGGTTTAGGTCTATATATAGATCAAATGCGTTTTTTGGAAAGACGTTACCGTTTACCGCTGCAAATCTAGGCTCAGACAGAAGGAAAATGAAAATTTTCCCGGGAAAATTTTGGGCAGGATGCATGGCTGCTAACCAGAGGGTTGAGAGGTGACAAGACACTTAAACCATTTCTAGTTTGAACTGTGTCAATTTCTTTTTAACTTCACGTGTTCACCTTTAAGTTCGCTACTTAAAGGCACTGACCATAACTCATACCATCTTATATCCCGTATAGCATTCAGCTGGTCACCTCAAAACACAGCTGGAGTTGCGTAAACATTTGTTTTCGTTTATTCCTCTCCTCTAAGAAATCTCAGATTGATGGAAACCTATCCTGCCCTAACTTTAAAGAGATTTCAAAACCTTTGCTTATAAAGGAATTATTTTTATCTACCCTATATCCTCCTTGTGGTAACAGAAGCCAGTTTCTTCTTGTTCCTTTTACTGTAAAGATGAGTAGGATTAAAGCTGCTCAGAGCCAAGTCCTGGCAGTACCAAGCTTCCTCTGGGCACAGAGCTGGGGTGTGTGAGATTACAGCTGGCAGTGGAAACTCCCACTGATGTTGGCCTTGAGCTCAGCAGCATTGCCAACTACACAGAGGTTTTCTTGGAATTTGGAATGCAGTTCGGAGGCAGTGGAAAAGTCAATGTCCATCTCAAGCAAATATTTCAGTTACTCAGCTATGGCATTTTCTCCATTTCTTAATAACAAACACCCTACTGAAGAATGTGTGTCACTGTAATTATTGTCCAGCCAAAGATTTCGAATCCCAGCCAGTAAGTAAACACTTAAATGAGTATGACTGTTGGTCTGTAACACCGTACCTAAGATGATCTTAATGTACAAGACACATAAAGCTAGCTTTCTTACCAGTAGTTTGTGATAAGCAAATGTGTAGCAAAACTTGCCATCACTAAAGTCTTTTTTAGCTGATGGAATGGATTCTTGTCTTGGGGCACTGACAAAGATGGTGAAACCCTGCCCTGCCTTTGTTTAAAATACTCCTCAAAGCTCCACAATGATACCCTTGTGTTTGGTTGGCAGGATGAGACAGGGGCATATCTGATTGACAGGGACCCCACCTACTTTGGTCCTATCCTAAACTACCTCCGCCATGGGAAACTCATCATTACTAAGGAGTTGGCAGAAGAAGGTAAGAGCACTGTTTTCATTGGCGATTTTCAAAATGCAAGTAGAATCTTTAAAATTGTTTTCCAGATTTAAATTTTGTTTGAGATTTTCATCAAGCTCATGTGTAGGTATAGTTTCAAGTTTATGAAACTGAGCAGAAGCTACCAGTCTTGTCTGAGGGAGTCATGATTAAGGAAGCCTCCTTAGGCTTTGTTCAGCTTCTGGGTGAGAAGGAAGATAGGTAGCTCAGCTTTGCAGATAACTTCAGGAGTTTTTTCCGAATCTCCAGAATTGTCATGATCCTTTTTTTTTCTTTCTTTTTTTTTGAGATGGAGTCTCGCTCTGTCGAGGCTGGAGTGCAGTGATGCGATCTTGGCTCACTGCAACCTCCGCCTTCCGGCTCATGCCATTCTCCCGCCTCAGCCTCCCCAGTAGCTGGGACTACAGGTGCCCACCACCACGCCCAGCTAGTTTTTGTATTTTTAGTAGAGGCGGGGTTTCACCGTGTTAGCCAGGATGGTGTTGATCTCCTGACCTTGTGATCCACCCGCCTCGGCCTCCCAAAGTGCTGGGATTACAGGCGTGAGCCACCGCACCCGGCCATCACGATCCTTTTTTTACATTTATTTGTGTGCAGTGAGTGTCTGTAGTCTGAAGAAGCAAGACATGTCTGACATTCAGTTATTTATAGTTTTAATTTTGGTTTGAACTCGCAGTAGTACAAAAATAATAAAGGCTTGGCCTCATTTATTTTAACACTCTGGCCTCATGCTTCCTTGTAAATGTTTGCAACTGACCTAATTCATTCTCTAGTTCATTGTCAGGTGTATCATCACTTGCCTCATCTTTTTGGTTTGTAGGGCATTGGGACTGTAAGTGGGTCTAGTCCACTTTCTACAAGGCTTGGCGTGGTCCTACTAAAGGCATTCGGTTGTAAAGGGGATTGTCCCTAAATCCAGGGCATCCTGATCTGGGAGCTTTGGCTCTGAGTAAGAAAGCTTGTAATGGTTGTACTAGTTAGTGAAGTGACTACAAAACAACTCTGTTTCAGCCAGTAGAAAGAGGAATTGCTCTCTCTTTTTTTAAATGTCCCTTTGTAAATAATATTTGAAATACATACAAAACTAGTGGGAATAGTACAGTGAATTCCATGCATCCACTATCCAGCTTCAACAATTATCAACTCGCGGGTAATCATTTCTTTTTCTAATTTTTATTTTTATTTTTATTTTTTTTTTTTGAGACGGAGTCTCGCTCTGCCGCCCAGGCTGGAGTGCGGTGGCCGGATCTCAGCTCACTGCAAGCTCCGCCTCCCGGGTTCCCGCCATTCTCCTGCCTCAGCCTCCCGAGTAGCTGGGACTACAGGCGCCCGCCACCTCGCCCGGCTAGTTTTTTTGTATTTTTAGTAGAGACGGGGTTTCACCATGTTAGCCAGGATGGTCTCGATCTCCTGACCTCGTGATCCGCCCGTCTCGGCCTCCCAAAGTGCTGGGATTACAGGCTTGAGCCACCGCGCCCGGCCTCTTTTTCTAATTTTTGTGGGTGCATAGTAGGTGTATATATTTATGGGGTATGGGGTACATGAGATTTTTCTTTTCTTTTTTTCTTTTTTTTTTTTTTGAGACAGAGTCTCGCTCTGTCTCTCAGGCTGGAGTGTACTGGCACAATCTCAGCTCACTGCAACCTCTGCCTCCCCGGTTCAAGAGATTCTCCTGCCTCAGCCTCCCAAGTAGCTGGGATTACAGGCGTGCGCCACAACACCCAGCTAATTTTTTGTATTTTTTAGTGGAGACGGGGTTTCACCGTGTTAGCCAGGATGGTCTCAAACTCCTGACCTCGTGATCCGCCCGCCTCGGCCTCCCAAAGTGCTGGGATTACAGGTGTGAGTCACTGTGCCTGGCCTTTTTTTTTTTTTTTGAGACGGAGTCTCTCTCTGTCGCCTAGGCTGGAGTGCAATGGCACAATCTCAGCTAACTGCAACCTCTACCTCCTGGATTCAAGCAATTTTCCTGCCTCAGCCTCCCGAGTAGTTGGGATTACAGGTGCATGCCACCACGCCTGGCTAATTTTTTTATTTTAATAGAGACGGAGTTTCACCATGTTGGTCAGGCTGGTCTCAAACTCCTGACCTCGTGATCCACCCACCTTGGCCACCCAAAGTGCTGGGATTACAGATGTGAGCCACCACACTCAACCTTTTTTTTTTTTTTTTTTTTTTTGAGACAGAGTCTTGCTCTGTCACCTAGGCCGTAAGTAGTGCAGTGGCACCATCTCGGCTCATTGCAAGCTCCGCCTCCCGGGTTCACGCCATTCTCCTGCCTCAGCCTCCCGAGTAACTGGGACTAGAGGCGCCCACCACCGCGCCCAGCTATTTTTTTTATATTTTTAGTAGAGACGGGGTTTCACCATGTTAGTCAGGATGGCCTCGATCTTCTGACCTCGTGATTCACCCACCTCGGCCTCCCAAAGTGCTGGGATTACAGGTGTGAGCCACCATGCCCGGCCCCCTTTTTTTTTTTTTTTAAATCATATTTGCATTGTCCTTCATTCTTCCCCCCTCCCTAGCCCCATCCTCTTGCCTCTCCCACCACAGTTCTTATTTCTGAACTATTTGAGAATAGATTGCAGATTTCACCCCTTAATATTTGTATATATTTCCCAAGAGCAAGGATATTCTCTTATGTAACCACAGACAGTACAGTTATCAAACTCAGGAATTTTAATATTGATGCTTTTACCTACAGCTTATATTGCAGTTTTGTCAATTGTCCTAATAATGGCCTTTATAGCAAATTTGTTCCTATAGGATCACACATCTCATAGTTGTCCTAAGGTCTTTGAGTTCATTTAGCATGCAAGTCTTTCAGTTGTTGCCTCTTACATCGTTCAAATGATTAGCATCCTATTAATTTCGGCCCACATAAATTTGTACATGACTT